GCGTCCGCAGGTTCGGCCGATTGTGGCTCCCACTGGCCGCGATTCGCCGCTCCAAGCCAATGGGGGCGGCGGGAAGCAGCGCGGGCCGAGGGATGTGCTGGCCTCCGCTTCCCGTCGCCCCCATTGGCTTGGAGCGGCGAACCGCGGCCAGTGGGAGCCGCAATCGGCCGAACCTGCGGACGCGGCAGGTAAACAAACTGGCCCGGCCCGCCAGGGTGCTTACCCTGGAGAGCTGCGTGCCAGAGGTTGCCAACCCCTGGTATACATAGACAAACTGTGAATAAAGCAGAAATACTCAATATATATATATATATCGTATTGCCTATATTTTTGTACCTATATCTGTATTTTCTATACTCTGACAAGACAGAAATGATAATATAAATGGTATTATATTAATAAGATAAAAATAGGGACAATACCAACATAGACAATATATGCACATTATTGCAATTTCTAAAGATTAGATTGTTAATGATATCATTCAGACTAAGGGCTTCGCAGGGTTCACAAAAGGCCTAGGCATTTATATGGTGACCAGGCATTGTTGGCACAAGAGCCCTCTCCTCTGCAGTGCCTGATGTGCTGATTAATGAACAGTACGGAGAAGATAAACCAGCCCTCCTATTTATTGATATATGTATCTGTGCACGTTGATTCCCCCTCCTCATTTCTCATCTCAGTGGAGCCCAGATCTTTCCCCCCTTCGCTTAAATGTTTCAGCATCTTTCTCTCGCCAGGATGCAGCCTCTGCATTAACTCTGTGCAACTCCCGGACTCTGCGCCCAGTTCTGCGCTGTGCTGGGTGTGTGCACGGAGCTGCGCGCCGCGCAGAGACAGTGGGAACCGGATCCTCGGGCGGGGTAGATGGTCGTGGCGCTGCTGAAGCCAGGGGCGCGATGTCCATCTGGCCCTGTCCCCTGGGGGCGCGGGTGGCAGCGCCTCGCCTGACACCGGGCGGTGCGCAGAGGCTGTGGCGCTGACAGCTGGGAAGGGGGAGGAAGGCTCGCGGGAGCACGTGGGGGCTGCCTACTCCACCCCAACGGCCGGCTCCGCCCCTCTCCTCCTCGCGCCACCGTCCCACCACCTGCACCTGAAGCCCGGCCCAGGGCCCCCATCACCGGGCTCACGACGCATGCGCGGAGGTTGGCCCCACCCTAGCTGTGGAAGCCCGCGGCCCAGCTCCGAGTTGCTCACCGGAAGGCGTTGTGCGTTGGACCGCTGCGCGGCCGGAAGGGGGACGCTGGTTTGGCGGGACACATCCGCTTTCTTTTGATCGCCGAGGTCTCAGCCTCCCAGAGAGCTGCTCCCGCCTTGTCCTCTGCGCCGGGTCCGGGCCGGGGCTTCCCTTTCGCTGCCTGTATGGCCGCCGCCGTGGTGAGTCCGCGGGCGGCCTGGAGCGCGAGGCCTGAGCCACGGGGGAGGGGGGCAGAGGCAACGGCAGCGGCAGCTCGCCCTCCATGAGGGAGCCAGGGCCCGGGGACTGCGTGTGGGGTGCCCCCCTCGGGCCAGTCGCCGCGCGGCCCTGCCCGCCTCGGGCTCCCGGAACTCGGGCCATGGCCACGAAAAGTGCCGTGCCCCTGAGCGAGACTAGCCGAGCTCTGGCAGAGGGCAGCACGGGCCCTGCCCCGAGCAGCCGGAATCGGCACTGGGAGGGGGGGTGAGATTTATCTGCAGGGTATAAATGCGCGTGGGGGAGAAAAATGACAAGATTGTTGGGGGGGGGGGCAGGGGGGGGTAACTGGGAGTCGTTGGGTGAAATGTCCAGGGGAACTTAATTGGAATGTTAAAACTAACAGGCCATTTCTCGTTCGAGATCAGTTTGACTGTCGATCAGCCTGCAAGGGAGTCCCTGGAATTCACAGGGCTTGAAAGCCCTGTCGTGTGTGCTATAGGAAACAGTTCAGCGTTAGCTCTTTGCGGGAGAGCGGTGGTAGGGTAACAGGATGTTTCCATTTTGGAATCTCATTTTGTTACTGTACGTATTAATTTACTTGCTGGAGAAACTGCTCATAGAATTTTATCAAACCAACTGTTTTACATTGCTTTATGTAACTGTGAGGGTTTTGCTGCTGTTGTTTCCAGAACTTTAAAACTCATGTGGATCAGACTTGTAGAGCTGCTGAAGAGTTTGTCAACATTTACTATGAAACGATGGATAAAAGAAGAAGGGTAGGTAGATCCCTAACAAGACTCAGTTGTTATCCCCTTGTCACTCTTGTGTGTTCTTCCATTGTCAGACTGATCCTCTTATATACTTCGAGACTTCTGGGAGTTAGCTACCTTCAAGACTTCTGGGAGTTAGCTACCACCCATCTTATCATTACTGGCAGAGTCCAGATCTCAGTGTGTCTTCTGATCTGCTCTATGAAGTATCCTTCAAGGTACTATCTAAATTAGGGATTCTTAAATTTTTTTCATTGTGTGAAGTGCTTCTAAAGCATGTCTCAGATCCCTTCGCAACCATGATCCTATTTGTCTCTTTATCTCTTCCTTCGGCAGCTACAGTGCAGAGTACATTTGAATATATACAGTTAAAATCAGTTGTATTAGTTTCCTTTTTCAGAACATCTCATCTCTGATCTCATGAATTAGTAAGTTTCCTTTCTCCTAACCTCCTAAGCTAGCAGTGTCCCTTCATTATAATTGAGTTTGGGTATCTCTAGAAATGACTGAGGAAGAGAAAGCGGTACCAGCATCTTATGATCAGGAAATGCTCCATGGACTGCAGTTGAAGAATTGCTGATCTGAATGCTTTTTCACGCACTTGTTTAATATGGTGGTATTTATGGATCTCTAGATGAGTATGCGTGATAGAGATAGCAAGAGGTCAACATAGACCCTTCTTTAAGGTTTGTATTATAGAGCTCAAGCACCGGCCTGCTTCCTCAGACATGCTATGCTGTGTTCTTTTGTAACTTTCCAGTGGCCCTTTTTATATGCATGTTAATTTTATTCAGATTACACTTCCCTATGTTCTTTTTCTTAATGGGGAATACTTTGAAGATGAAAACTTACAGTAGAGAGGTGACAATGTACTTTGCTTTGGCTATGCTGGGAAGTGCTTCAGTTCCAACCCTTCCTCCTACAGGAAACAGCTGAAGAACCTGATCAGTGTCTATCTTGAGTACTAAGGCACATTGTTACTTAACAAAATAAGTTACGAAGAAACATACATTCATTTTGTGTAGTAGCTTCAATTCTTGATCAAGGACGGTAGTTACTAATGGAAGCCAATGTTTGAGTAGGACACTTCAGTCAATTCTGTATGAAGGAGGATCTAATATGTGCAATACTGTTTTAATTCTTCTGATCATATGAATGTGTTTCCCATATTGGCAACAAGTAGCTTGATTTTTAATAATGGATTTTTTTCCAAACGTGTTCTCATAATCCCTTTAGGTGTTGGCTAGACTCTATTTGGACAAAGCAACATTAATTTGGAATGGTAATGCAGTGTCTGGACAAGAAGCACTGAAAGAATTTTTTGAAATGTTGCCATCTAGTGAATTCCAAGTTAATATGTTAGACTGCCAACCTGTTCATGGTAAGATTATTTTATAATTCAGGGTGGTGTTTTTTTTTTTTATAATTGTAGAAAGTGAACAACAAATGTAATAAATATTGATGTGGCTCTTAGAACAAGGTAAAGAAAAGACCTGATGGCTGAAATGTAGGGCTATTTTTAAATAAAGGGGAGTAATGGGAGGGTGACTACTTAAAACTGTACAGTAGAATTTATTAAACTTCCTCTTTAAGAATGCTTACTCAGATATAACCTTGATATCTTCATCCACTAAAGCAGTTACTCTTAATGTATTAAACTAACTTCAAGGGAATTTTAACCTCTACCTGGCACTGTAACATAAACAGTGCAAGTTAAAAATATCATTAAAAAGCAACATTTGCTAATGAACAAGTTACCATAGGTGTTTCTGTTAGTAACAATACAACATAAAAATCAGTTTAACACACATACTCTTCCAACTATTTGCTAAAAAATCCGCAGCTGTGACTTGTATGGAGATGATTAGTAGTTAAGTAGACATTCTGGCATTTCACATAAGCAATTGAGGTGATGGGAAATTGTGCATAACTGTTTTATTCTTTTACATCTTTCATTCTCTTTGTGAAGAGCAAGCTACTCAAAGCCAGACAACAGTCCTTGTAGTGACATGTGGGAGAGTAAAATTCGAAGGCAACAAGCAACGTTACTTCACCCAGAATTTCTTACTGACAGCACAAGCTACACCTACCAGCACAGTGTGGAAGATTGCAAGTGACTGCTTCCGCTTCCAGGATTGGGCCAGTTAATGGGGACTGAGAGGTGATTGCTTTCCCTCTTCATTGCGTGACTTTAGCTCTCTGGACAGTCATTCTTTAAACGTGGAAGACCTTTATCCCTTCACTTAGTGTGCCGTTCGTTCTGGAAGTACTGCAGATCTGTGTTGTGCTAGTCCTAGTGGCCCTGGACTTAATGGCAAATGTATTTTTGAAATGGATGAAGTTTGCTCAAGTTACTTGGGCCCCTGTGAAATATTTAAGGCAGTGAGCCAGAGGGCTTAACCGTTCCTGAAGTTTGTGTTAGTGATTCTCTCATGTAATGTTGAAATCATTCCTGTAAATGCCTTACATACAACTATCCTGCTGCTCCAGGAACTTTTTCAATAATATTGAATGCTAAAATCTCCACTACTTGGACACTGAATCCCTTCATACAGATGTGCAATCATTTCAGCTTAGAAACACCATCTTTGAAGCAGACACCCATGACAGTGAGAAATGGAGTTAGTTGCTCATATGTGACATGTATATGAAACTTAGAACTGCTTATTTTGAGCCTTGAGCTTGATCTGGCAACCATTAGAGTTCTTTTTTCCAATAAGAGTGGCAACATCAAAGTAACTTCTCATATAATAGATGGAGAGATCCCACTTGGAGTTGTAGTGTCACCAATGAATTACATGGTTTGGGGGATGGGGGAATAAAGGGATTGGCAAATACAGTCATACTTTCTGCTTCCTCTCTGAAAATTGAAAATATAACTTTTGAACATGTGTAAACTCTCAAAAAATCATCTGTTGTAAAGCCAATGTTTAGTGTCCTGGATGTACAAGGAATACAACACTTATCAGGTTTCCCCTTTGGCTTAACCCTGTTAATATTTGGTTCTGATCACTTATGTAGATCTAGGTCCACACTAACAGCTCTGTTGAATGCAAAGGGAAAGGATAACCATGCTAAGCTGATTTGAGAAGCTGCTTCCCTTTCTTTAGAAGTCTTGGAGTATAAGCTACGTATCAATCAGCTGTGTCATCCTCTGTTTTCTGTAGCTAGTAATTTCATTATTACTATGAAGCATAACATACTTATTTTATTGCAACTTTTTCTCCTTTTTTGAATTTGCAAGCTTTTACCCCATCAGTCTGAAACATTATAATAGGAAAGTGGCATTGAAATTGTATATATGATATGGTAGTCATCTCTTTAGTGCAGTTGTTCAGAGTAGATACTTTGACGACTGTGGTCCCAGAAGGATATTAACCTCTCTACGTGAGAAAATTTTATCTTCCTTCGATCCGAAGTTAATGCGCAACTTTCATTTGTCTTTCTCCTGTTTGGTTTTTATTATGGGTTTCTCAGAATACGTTTACCTTCAATTGCTATACTCTTGGTTCTATTTTTAATTTTTTTTTATTGTTTTTAAAGTTTAGAGGGTAGCTTGCTTTCTTAACCCGAATTAACGCTTTAGGTCTCAGAATGGCAGCACTTTGTGTTCAGACTGCTAATCTAAGTTGAGCAAATTAAACGGATGGAAATCTAGTCACATAGTAAGTACTTGAAAACACACACTCTGCTTGTAAGTAAAAATATATTCGACAGTAACTTGTATATCTGATCTTAATTTCATCCTGACGGATGTTTAGACAATTCACAAGGCTGTTACCTTTATACTGGGTAACAACTCATTTTATTCCTTAAATCAGAAAACAGAAAATAAACCATATTTTAAAAACGTATGTATACTTAACATATGTTTTAACAAATAATGGTATAAGTTGATATAAAGATGAAATGGTTGGCTGCACCAGTATTTCCAGGTTTCCAGCAATGTTTATATCATTAGGTTGGCGAATTTGTAATATATTGGCCAACTCTCGTAAATGGAAAATTTTCTATAGTTAAAGTCTGAAATGGTCTCTCTAAAGTCCTTGCTCAAGAAACTGCTTCCTCTATTTTCCTTCTTTTGAGAAAACAGGAATCTAAAAATGGCATAAGGACTACCAAACTGTTTTAACGTTGTAGCTATCGTAAATGTATTGCGATCTGTGTGCATAGTGGGGGAAAGATTGACCTTTTTAACTGTGTAATGTTACCTTGCAATAATGTTGGGAGGTTTTCATATCTTTTCTACCAGATCAAAAGAAGAATTAACATTGAAGTTACCTGCTAATTATATAGCAGTGTTGAACTGTGGTGGTGTTGTATTATGGTTACAACTCACTGTTTCTTACACTAGGAATATGAATTTCATCTGTATCTTGTCTTCATACAGTATCAGTATAACTTTTAGCTCTAAAACATTTATGGGTGAAATTCCAGCACTGGGCTTCTGAATTATGAAGACATTCAGTCTTCAGAACACAATATTCTTATACCAAACAAACACATTTATACTCAAGTAAATATTTATTTAAAATTATTAGGATGACACCTTAAATCTTAAATTAGCATGTTCAATTGTCTAAGACTTTCTGCCACAACAATGGAAGTTTTAGATGTAGATGTAGCCATTCTATACGTTCTGTTCAGATGGAAACAGGTTTGGGCTTTAAGTATGGCTGGTGCTCCGAGTTCTTACTATTTGAAGCATAATTTAGTATGTGCACAAACTAACCTAGTTGTACAAGCTCTGCCTTCCATTGTGTTAATTTCACAGTTGGAAGTGGATCTTGGCTGTTGCTAGCATGGATTTTTGTGGAAGTGATGATCTTCCACACTGTTCTTCCTGCTTCCCTTCCCTTGTTACTACACCTTCAGTAGAGCCATAATAAGGTTTGGCTTTGGCAGTTATTGATGATTATGTCTTTTTAGCTGGAGGTGATCTGCCTTAAAAAAAAAAAAAAAAAAAAAAAAAAAGGGGGCGTGCTCAGGCTGCCATAATTGCCTGCTAACCAAAATTCTTAATTTTCTTAATACTTGTACAAAATCATAAGAACTAAACTGCATAGAAGTCCAAACACTCTGATGTTTTCCCTTGCTATTAAAATAGTAAATTCTGGGCATGTAGCAAAGCAGTAATACAAAATCAAGGTGAAAAGCTAAGCAAATGCAAATCCTAATAATATCTTCTGGCACTTAACTGGATAGACCCATTTTGCCTATCTTGTATTGCCTCCATTAGTCAGTTTTGTTTTGACATTCTAGTTATGTAGCTTTGCTCTTTTTAGCATGCCACAAATAATTTAAAATGCTCAGTGCTGCCATTTCTTGGAGGGAAATATTTTGTCTTCAAAGGCTAGCATAGGTAACGCTTGTTATCTGATGAGAGACTTCTGAGTATATAAAGAAGTGATGCTTTTTTAACATCAAAATAGCTTTCCACAAACTTGAATGTTTTATAATCTTTTGCAACTGTTTATGACCTCTTGTAAGGGTGTCACTTAAAAAAAATTGCTTGATCTGGTATTTTATTTTTATTACAAGTTTTCATAGTGTTTTCTTACTATATTAAAGTTCAGGAAATAACGTTTGGCTCTTCAACTTTGCTGTTTGGGTTTTGGCATTGAGTTACATATGTTCTAACTATTGCCACCATATTGTACTCAAATGTCTCAGAACAGAGGCCACCAGTGTGCATGCTCCTTGATAGTGGTGGTGTCTCTCCTGTGATGAGAAAAACGAACTGATGGTGGCAACTGATTCCACAGTCATGTGCATCAGCAGGAGAGTAATGCAGCATAATAGAGGTAAATGATACTTGAGAGGGCAGAAGAAAAATCTCTGGGGAATGTGGCAGTTCCCTTGGACAACATTCACTGAAGTTTACATCACCATTCAACAAATGCTAAGAAGAAGTCAGCCAAACACATAGGGTATGCAAGATGCTTGGATGGTAAATTCCCCCCCCCCCCCCCCCCCCCCCCCCCGTTTCCCCCCCAAAAGCATAGATTATGCCTGTGCTATACCTCTTCTATGGATAAATAGAACATTCACCCAAAGAACTAAATTTACTCTGTTTTTCCTTTTTAGCATCAAGAATGGCTGAGTTCAATAGACCAATTGGCTACTAATGTTACAAGTTTACACTTAGGTGCTGATCACCTTCAATTTTCATCAACATCAGTAGCAGTTAAGGGTTCTAAACTCTTGGGAGGGTTGGTCACTCAGTGAAAAGTGCTTTAAATTTTGTTCAAATGTGAGCCTAAAAACTAGGAGTGAGGCTCTGTGCTGTACCTAACTTACGGAGGCTCCCTGAGGCTGTCCTTCGGGCTGGAATGCTGCCTAGAATCTCTTTAGTTTTGTGGCTCCACCCGCACCATGCCCCACTCATGGTGGCACAACTTTTTTGTACCAGAACTTGTGAAAGGTCCTTGGAGGACAGCCTTACAGTTGTTTTCTGCAGTGCCAACTCCCCATGGCTTTTAGGGCTTTTCATGCTCCTCTGGCCATTTTACCTAGCATAAAAGGTCTGGAATGGAGATGAAGAGCTTAAAAGGAAGTAGGGCTGTCAAGCTATTAATCGCTCTGTTAAACAATAGAATACAATTTATTTAAATATTTTTGGATGTTTTCTACATTTTCAAGTATTTTGATTTCAGTTACAACACAGAATACAAAGTGTACAGTGCTCACTTTATATTTTTATTACAAATATTGCACTGTAAAAAAGTAGTGTTTCAATTCACCTAATACAAATACTGTAGTGCAATCTCTTTATCATGAAAGTTGAACTTACAAATGTAGAATTATGTACAAAAAAATAACTGCACTCAAAACAATGTAAAACTTCAGAGCCTACAAGTCCACTCAGTCCTACTTCTTGTTCAGCCAATCAAGTTTGTTTACATTTGCAGGAGATAATGCCCGCTTTTTGTTTACAATGTCACCTGAAAGTGAGAACAGGCGTTTGCATGGCACTGTTGTAGCCAGCATTGCAACATATGTACGTGCTAGATGCAGTAAAGATTCATAAGTCCCTTCGTGCTTCAACCACCATTCCAGAATACATGCTTCTGCTCGACAACAATCCAAAGCAGTGCAGGCTGACCCATGTTCATTTTCATCATCTGAGTCAGATGCCACCAACAAAAGGTTGATTTTCTTTTTTGGTGGTTCAGGTTCTGTAGTTTCCGCATTGCAGTGTAACTCTTTAAAGACTTCTGCAAAAACATGCTCCATACCTCATCCCATTTGGATTTTGGAAGGCCCTTCAGATTCTTAAATCTTGGGTTGAGTGCTGTAGCTAGCTTTAGAAATCTCACATTGGTACCTTCTTTGCATTTTGTCAAATCTGTAGTGAAAGTGTTCTTAAATCAAACAACATGTGCTGGGTCGTCATCTGAGACTGCTATAACACAAAATATATGGCAGAATACGGGTAGAATAGCAGGAGATGTACAATTCTCCCCAAAGGAGTTCAGTCACAAATTTAATTAATGCATTATTTTTTTTAACAAGTGTCATCGGCATGGTGGCCAAAGCATGAAGTGGCATATGAAAGTAAATGCCTTGCAATGCTGTTCTCATTTTCAGGTGACATTGTAAATAAGCGAGCAGCATTATCTCTGGTAAATGTAAACAAACTTGTGTGTCTTAGTGACTGTCTGAACAGGAAGTAGGACTGAGTGGACTTGTAGGCTCCAAAGTTTTACATTGTTTTGTTTTTGAGTGCAGTTAAGTAACCAAAAAATCTACATTTGTAAGTTACACTTTCACAGTAGAGATTGCACTGCAGTACTTGTAAGAGGTGAATTGAAAAATACTATTTTTTATTTATCGTTTTACAGTGCAAATCATTGTAATAAAAATAATATAAAGTGAGCACTATACACTGTATTCTGTGTAAATTGAAATCAAATATTTGAAAATGTAGAAAAACATCAAAAATATTTAATATATTTAAATTTGTATTGTTTAACAGTGCGATTAAAACTGATGAATGGATTTTAATTTTTTTGAGTTAATCACATGAGTTAACTGTGATTGACAGCACAAGTCATGGACAGGTCATGGAGCTGTGAATTTTTGTTTACTGCCTGTGACCTGTCCATGACTTGTACTATAAATACCCCTGACTAAATTGTAGCCTTACCCATCTTCCCTTCAGTCCTTGGACTCTCACAGAGGCTGACAAAATTTGCTTCATCATATGGTGTCCAATAGGACTCAAGCTTCCCAAAACAGTAACTCAGACCCTTTAATATTGAATGAGTCCCAAAATATTTAGCTAGGTGCTGCTGGGAGCCCTGGAGGGAGCCAATGCTCTGGGGTGGAGCACTGCCAGGGGTGCTGTTGCTCTGGGGGTTGGGGAGCAGCAGCACCAGCTGCCAGGGGTTGCATCCTAGCCACCGCTGCCAGGGGCTACTGAGCTGCAGCGGTCCCTGGGACCAGCCCCACCGGTTGCTGTTCAGGTGGTCCCCGGGGCTGGCTGCCTAAGCAGTGGCTGGTACGGCTGGTCCCGGGGCAGCTCAGAAATGGCTGGGGTGGCTGGCCACGGGGGCGGCTGCTTGGGCGGCTCTGGGGTTAGCCACACAGGCCGCTGCAGACATCACGGATCCCCAATGATAGGGAATGAACTATTGTCTCACCCCACAATGATGGTCCTGCTGGGATGTAATTTAGACACCTTGACACAGTACTGAGGGAGAAGCTTGTAGGATTGCAGTATATAACTTCAATATCTGGGGCTATCAAGTGAACACCATTCCAAGGTCTACAGGGTATTTGTGTCTATGGTTCTTGTGACTCTGCTGAGCTGCCAGTCAGTGTTTTTTGTGATGTAAATGTTTGGCTGCTTGGTATGGGATTGAGACCCAGCAAATCACTTCTTCCAGCCCACTGAATCACCACCAGACACCAGATCCCTGCTTAAATAGAGATTCCATAGATAAATACTTCATATTTTGCTGTGTATATTCATTGAAACAGACTATGCTAGAAAAAAAACAAGTATAAATTCTAATGTGCAAACCACATCAAGTGTAAAAAAAAAAAAGCCCTGCTATTACTCCAAAGTGAATGAATGGACTATCCTGTGTCATACAAACAGTTTAAAGTACTTGGTGACTCTACAGGAGACTATTCTGAACATTTCTATTCATCTAAATGAAATGTTTTCTAACGATGTGGTTACACTATGAACTCTTTTTTTTCCCCCTCACCCCCAAGAAAATGGAACTGATTTAGGAGGCCCAGTGAGACATGGGTCAATGTTGGCTTCTCCAAAACGTTTTGTGAGGTATCTATTGTGTGTGCTTTTATGTGTGTCCCAATTCAAGGAAGCATGGATGGGCCAAGCATTCCAGTCTGATCCTCCTGAGTGCTAGGCTTTCCTATCTCCCACTGAATCAGATGTAGATCAACCCTACTGAAACCCAGGAACTGAGGGTACACAGCACCATGCAGGAGCTGACACTAACCACCTGTACCATGGGGTATTTGGGTAGTATTTTTAATAGTCATGGAACCTAACTCACTCCATGAATTTCTTCCCCAATGTGCCTACATGTCTGTCTTCCCCTTTCAGTTGATTATGTGTGGATAAGAACGGAGTAAGGGCCATAACACCCAGAAATAAAGGACAGTGCATGCCTGGACCGAGAAAACAGCAAAAGACAACCCAAATACCTATTTCCATCTTTAGTCATAGTTGGGTTCCATATCTCCTTAAATATTAAACCGCTCAGTATTCATAACACAAACTGAGTTACCACCTTTGAGAATTAATGCTACTTGTTCTGTGGTGCAGGGTGGCAGCAGGTCCATGCCAATTAACCAGGTGCTAGGTAGTTTGTAGGTATGGGAAATACAAACTGGTCTTGCTTAGAGATTATCACTATGAGTCCTGCCAGGGAAATAATATAACTTATTTTCAGTTGTGTAGCTTCTTTTCTTCGGTAATCAAGTTTTCAAAGCATCCCTACAATGAGACCTTAATGCAGCCAAGGAAACAATGTGGTGTCAATCTTGGTAGAAGTCAGTTGAGATAGAGCATATCTTTTAGAAAGACAGCCAGTCTATTCACCCTGAAGTTGTGGGCTGACTTATACAGGAGGGAAGAGGAGATGATAAATAATGGTCCCTTCTGGCCTTAAAGTCTATGAAGAATAATAGCACTGATAGTGTCACTTTAATATTTGTGAAGGGCTATCAGGTAGTTTAGGACCCTCTTTTCACTCCAAATCACTGTTTTACAAACCTAATATTTATTAAATACATTTTCATCTGATTGAAAATAATTTAATGAAAACTTTTTTGTTGATGGTTGGGCTGGCTGTACATATCCCCTTCCAGAGTTGGCAACACAAACAGTTGCATAACTGTGAGAACCAGAAATTTGAAGATTTGCAGATGGAAATACAGCACAGCTACCTTAGAGGAGTAGCTGAGGATTCCCCCAGTCATATGAATACTTCAACCAATTTATGTGAAAAGTAATATTGGACAATCCAATAACAACTAACTCTGACCTAAGACATAATTATCAAGAAAGAATTGTTTAGTTTGTTACAGAAAGAAAGCTATAGACTTAACTTATTTCAACAGAGAGTACTAGTACCTACAGTAACTGTCCTGCAACAAACTATATAAATAGTAATTTCCAGATATGTTGCACACACATTTTGCTGCAGAATACTAACACTTTAATTACTGAAATATGCAGACATCACACACACAACACTTATATATCTAAAACTGCTGTGTAATTAAGGCACAATTTCCTACAGTATATCTTCTATGTTAAGTACATAAGATGAAATCCTGGCTCTACTGAAGTCAATGGCAAAGCTCCCATAATACACTAAACATAAAATTAATAAGGGCAATTAATAGCCTATCCGTTAATTTTAACTGTCTTACAGAGAAAACAATAAACAAAGAACAGTTGATGTGGTTGGAATGCCCAATGTAAATTTTTGCACATCGAGGTTTGTTAGAGAACTTGTTTTGTATTAGAATCTGTATCTACCTTTATTTCCACACTTTAAGACTTAGGTTTTATTAATTAACATATTCTTGGAATTACATTTTGATAACTTACAATAAAGTTAGTTACAAAAGTGACTTGGGAATTTCCTTGGTTTTGTTACAAAAATACAAGAAGTATATTATCAGTATAAATCAGCCTGCTGCCTGAATTCTAAGGTTGGCATAGACTCCTGCAACCATTTGGACTTCAGCACATACAACTTTTGCTCAAGGGTCCTAGTTTTCCTCTGTCTGCTCCAATCTCCTCTCCTCAGGTTAGGTTCTCTTATGTATACTCTCTCTCACTCCCAATCCATGCATTGTTTGTAAGATTTATAGGGAAAGATTTGGATCACAGAAGCTCCAGGCTTTGCTAGGAGCTGAAGATTTGGTGTTGTAGACTTTATTTGAGCTGTTGAAGTCATAGCATAGGGATGGTGTGGCAGTGTAGGCCACTATGATCACCGTTACGATATATTTTGTACAAAGTATGCCTTGTGTGGCATCATTTGAAAAGTCAATCTGCTGAATATTATCCTGGTAAAGTGTAGCAACACTATATGTAAAGTTATACAGTTCTACTGTATGATTGTTACTGAAATATGTTATAATTCTGGGGAACACCCACAAACCAGTTCCTCAGAGACAATGAGGCTATCACCTAGTTAAGTGGACATTCTTCAGCAGGGGGGAAAGTGAACAAGAAATTTATATTCCATCACTGGGATGGCCTATAGTTCAAGTCCACAAGAAACAGGCTGACACCAAATGACTCAGCTGAAAATTGAAGATCTTTCTAGAACAAAGGACTGAGTTATAAAAGAGGGGTAAAAACACTTTATTCTGCTCCTCCCTTTATCTCTGATGGCTACATTATCAACATCTGAACCACAACAGAAGGACATACTGAATTGCTTGGGGGAGTCTTGGCTGGAAGGAAATCCAGCCTATTATAGTAGGGTGGCGAGACACACACATTTGCTCAGAATCCATTTTAGTTTGTTAGATGTCAGTTGCATTTTATCTTTTATAACCAATTCTGACTTTTATGCCTCATTACTTATAGTCACTTAAAAAAAAAAATCTATCTTTTTGTAGTTAATAAACTTGTTTTATCTAAACCAATGTGTGTTTGGATTGAAGTGTTTAGGAACCACCACTTGAAATAACAGGACCTATGCATATCATTTTCCTTTGATGGAAATGACAGACTTTCTGTAAGCTTGCATTGTCCAGCATCTGCTGGACAATACAAGATGCACATTTCTGGGGGACAAGGCTGGAATTGGGAATTTGCTGGTGTCGCCCTGTACATAATTCATGAGTGGTTGGCAGAGCATTTATGTAACGTACTGGGAGTGATTTTGCTAGTGGCTGCGTGTGAACAGGCCAGGAGTGGATGTTCTTACAGAAGAGTGGTGTAAAAGGCACCCCACATTGGAGACTCGAGCGAACGCAGCTGTTCAACAATCCAGATTGTACCCTGGAGAATATCACAGAAAGGACAGGCCTCATTCTGCTAATTTTTTTTTTTTTTAAAGTAGCCTATGCAGTCTTAATGCACTGAAGTCTTTTCATCATAAAAGTGTTATAGGGCTAGACGTTGCAAAGAAACAAATAATTTTCATGTAATTTAGGTTATTGTGACTGGCTTTAAAAACAGTTGCATTTAAAAAAATTGATAAAAGCAATTTGTCAGTAACAGCATTTTTTAGGTCAGATAAAATTCAATATGATTAGCTCATATAAAGAGAAATACCTTATCCTATATAATGCTTGAAAACATTTGAGCAAAAGAAAAATAGCTAGAGATACACTAACCAAAATAAGTACTGTAGAAAATGAATGCAAATCAGTCTCCATTGTTAAAGGACAACCATGTTACAAGATAAACCTTTTGCATTACACAATCTGTTTTTTTTTCATCTCAGTAGCTACCTGGTGATGTATACAGTGCTGACTTAGGCCTGGTCTACACTAGGACTTTAATTCGGATTTAGCTGCCTTAATCCGAATTAACCCTTCACCCGTCCACACTACAGAGCCAGTTAATTCGAATTAAAGGGCCCTTTAAATCGATTTCTGTACTCCACCTCGACGAACGAAGTAGAGCCTAAATCGATTTTGTTAATTCGAATTAGGGTTAGTGTGGACGCACACCACCGAATTACTGTATTTAAGTTAATGGGGTAGTGTGGCCGCACACCACCGAATTAATGTGGTTTAAAACCGAATTAAGGTGCTTAGTGTGGCCGCGCACAATCGAATTTATACAACCTGTTTCCCAAATTCGAATTATCTAAATTCGGATTAATCCTGTAGTGTAGACATACCCAAAGGCTTAATTCCCACAGAGCAGTTCATTACGTACATGAGGTTCTTACTGGAGTTGAGCTGAATTTCAGATACTTTGCTCTGGGCCAAATTTGATTTGGCATTTAGCCAAAACACTTGCCAATTTGATTTCTTCCTGTTCACCTAGCTACATGGGTTGTAGTGATGTCTCTATTGAAGACATGTTAAATAGATCTGAAACTCAAATATAGTTGAGATTTGGACTGATTAAGTTCAGATAAAAGGAGAAATTCAGAAGAAAATTCTGCTTCCTGTCTTAGGCCCCCCATCCTGTAATGAACCCTGGGGGGACACAGGGGTTGGCCTGCACAGAGCTCATTGCAGGCTTGGGTCTCATCTCTGACCTATCATTGGTGAAGGTAAAAAGAACTAATCAGTTTCTTGGAATGAGGTTACACAAATGGATCCCAGGGAAATTAGAAAGTCAACTGGCATTGGACATCTAGTGCCCATTAGTGTTTTGGAAAATTTTCCTTTTATTTGCATTATGCCTTTTGATCGAATATATGTGGAATTGCTGCTCAGGGCGATCCCTGTGTGTAACCTCAGCTTTGCTCTCCTCGATTTTGTGAGAAGTCCTTCCTTATAGAAAATCCCCGTTCTGCAAACAGTGTTTAACATCTAAACCCCTCTTCATCCTCTGTTCGCCTTATTTACTCTTTTGCCTCTGGAATCTGGGCGGGTTCCTTGGTTTGGAGTCGGGCTGGGTCCGGCTCTCCTGCTTCAGCTGCGAGCGCTGCCGACAGGGGGCGCTGTGTTCACTGACCGCCTGGCTCTGGCTCCCCGGGCGGGCGGGCTCACTCCGGCTCGCAGGGGGGTCTCAGTGCTTTGGAAGTTTCTCGTCCCCATGGCCCCCGTCCTCTCCCCGGGAGTCCGGGGGGTCCGCGGCCGCTCTCTGGCGGCGAAGGCGAGCAGCGGAGAGCCCGGCTGGGGGCCAATCACCGCCCAGCCAGGGCAGCCGCTCGCTGTCCGGGCCAGGGCGCGAGCCTCGCCGCCCCTCCTCCCTCAGGCGCCGCGGCCGCCTCTTGCCCCGCCGGGGGCTCCCCCGGGGCGCGCCGTGTCCCGCGGCCGGCGCGCTGAGGCGGAGCCCATCAGTTCGCTCCGCGGCGAGCCCCGGCGGGCGGGCGGGCGGCCCGCGCCTCACAGCAGCTGCTGCTCGCCCTCCAGGCCGGCCCCGTCGTGAGGCGCGGCGCCCTCGTGCCGCCCGCTCCAGTCGCGCTCGATGTAGAGGTGGAAGGGGTCGTGCTTGGACTCCAGCTTGCGGGAGCGGGTGTAGGCCAGGATCAGCCCGCCCGCCAGGCAGCCGTAGAAGATCATGATGAGCAGGATGTAGAGGTAGGCGTCGTCCGCCCCCGGCGCGGCGGCCCCGCGGCTGGCGTTGGCCCCGCCGGGCAGGTGCCGCAGCAGGTGGCTGAGCAGGGTCCGCAGGCGCAGCGCCTCGCTGCAGTTCATGGCGAGGGGTCAGCGGTGTCCTGCCCGGCCCGGCTTCCCCGCTCTCAGTGCTGCCCTGGACGGAGCCTGCAGCCGGCTGGACGCCGCGCCCGGACCTCGGCGCTTCTCATCCTCCCGCGGCGCCTGGCTGCTGTGTGCTGCGGGGAGGCTTTAATGCGGCTTCCCCCGCCCACCGCGGGGCTCTTCTGCTCCATAAGTGGAGATGTTCCCGGCAGCCCGGCGCGCAGAACCGCTGCCCCAAGCCTTGTTTATCTCCAGGAAACAGAAATATGCTTTTAAGCCGCCCTAGCAGAGGGAGATTGTAAAGGGACCGCGATGTTCCCCCACTCTGAGCTGTGCAACATAGGCACGGGATTGAACCAAGGATTCCTGCTGGGTTGAAGCATATTTTAGCGAGAGATATCCCAGCTTGATTTAAAGCCTCTCGGAGGTGGAGAATTTGCAACATCCCTCTCTGATCTGTTCCAATGGTTAATTACCCACCGCATCTTATTGCTAGTTTGAACTTCGCTGACTTCATCTTTCAGCCACTAGCTTCTGTTGGCTAGATTAAGGAGCCCTTTACCTTTAATCTGGCAGGCAAAAGGATAAAATATTGCATATTTCTAGGTTAAATGGGGAAATCGCAGCTACAATGATTCCTAAAGAATGCCTAAAGAATCATTTACTACCGTGGCACAGTGGTTCTAACTTTTGTACTGGTGACCCCTTTCACATAGCAAGCCTCTGTGTGCAGCCCCTCTTTTCAATTAAAAACACTTCTTTACATATTTAACACCATTATAAATGCTGGAGGCAAAGTGGGGTTTGGGGTGGAGGCTGGCAGCTCATGACCCCCCATGTAATAACCTCGTGCCCCCCTGAGGGGTCCTGAACCCCTGTTTTAGAGAGACTGAGAGTTCTCATGCTGTCCAGTTTAAGAAGCTGTAGTTAGGGACTTAGTCAGAAACCTCTTTTGTACCTGCAGTTGCCTGTAAAAACTGAACTCTGATTTGCAACTTTACCCCTGGGATTATTCCTACCATTGAACTTCCAGCAAAAGGGCAGTTGTCTGCTTTTTATGAGAGGGTTAATAATAGGGTGACCAGACAGCAAATGTGAAAAATCGGGACAGGGAGTGGGGGGTAATAGGAGCCTATATAAGAAAAAGACCCAAAAATCCAGACTGTCCCTATAAAATTAGGATATCTGTTCACCCTAGTTAATAAAGGGGCTGCCCCTGCCAGGCAACGAGCACCTTCCATCTAGGATACTGTTAACCACTGACAGGATTCGATGCTCAGCACCTTATGGGAACAGGGTCAGTCATCAGTAATAGAAGCATTTCCCCATGCTACTTAAATTTAGTTGTGTTTTTTATATCCAGTGCATGTGTTGGTGAGGGAGGCAGCAGCATGTGTCATTCCGGGAATCAGGGAGGTAGAAGTATTGTCCTCATGTGTAAATTAAAGAAAAGTGGATTAAGCTGCGCCTGGGCAGCCCACCTACATTTGAGATCTGCCCTGTTGCAGCTGCATTTATGTAGTTGTGCTGGGATAAATTTCCTTAATGTAGAAGTTCTTTTGTGTCTCAGTTTGCCCATTGTAAAACTGGGATTACAATACTTCGCCTCCCTCAGAGTGAATTCTGAGAATTAATTAATTAATGTCTGTAAGGTACATTGGATGAACAAAACGTTCAATAGCGTGGTTCTGCCAGCCCCTTGTAGCAAGATATTGTTAAAGTGGGAGACTACTTAGTTTAGAAGAGTATCAATTTGGAGAGCAAAAGGCTAATGGTGTCTGCTAGTAGATGCATTCTGTATCGTGACTTGAAAAACAGGGTCAGAGATTCATTTGAGGAGACACAAAGCGAAGTTCAGCAGCATTTTCTCTGGCCAGTCTCATTAGCTTTGCCTTTTCAAAAACAGATTACTTTTCTTCATGGGACTACAAAGGAGCTTTTTTAGGCTGTCTCTTTTCAAGGGGCTAGATCAAGAACTAACTTTATTGATATAAGAAAAGAAGAATGGAAGCTGAATATTATTAGGCCAGACTTGATAGTGGTGAGGCCTGAACTTCTGGACTAACCTCTGGGCAGTAATGTTAGTCAAGACTTTTTGAAAAAGCCCTCCAAACACATTGTGGGATGGAGAGGAAGCAATCCTGTCCTGGCAGGGAGTGGACTAGATGGCCTTGGGGCTTTTTTTCCATTTCAAATTGCAGCTATTTTACTGACTTATTGAACCATCCATTCTCAAGCCTGGTGACAAACAATTTAGGCAGCTCAGAGGCCAACACACTTCCTTTTCTGCCATGGGTGGGCCCCTGATACCTATTGGGCAATCTAGGCACTGCTGTAAGACTTTCAGTAATAATGGTTCTGTGGTTTTCTTCTTTGGAAAAAGGAAAGTATTTAGGGTGACCATATTTCCGAAACGGAAAAATGGGACACAGTGCGGGGCTGGCTGAGCTGCTTGCCCAACCCCTGTCTGCCTCCCACACGCGGCTGGGATCGCTGCTCACCTGAGACCTGCCTGCTCCCCCACCCGAAGTCTGCCTCCCTCCTGAGCGGGGTTGGCATAGCTGCTCATCCACCCTGCATGTTTCTCCGCACCGCACCCCACTTTTTTGACAGAAGTGGGCATTTGTCCTGTTTGCTTGTGCCAACTGCCCACTTTTGCCAAAGAGGTTGGGACGGCTGGGACAGGGCTTAAAAAAGGGACTGTCCCGGCCAAAATTGGACATATGGTCACCCTACCAGTATTTGAAATGGGGAAATCCCTCCTCCTTAGTCACGCAACTCTGTCTACCCAGCCAAGCTTCACTTAAACACACAGGCTTGCTCCATAGGAAAGAAAAATCCATCCAGTGGGCAGATCAACCATTTAGGTTAGTGCCATTCTGGGGCACACTCCTCCATAGGGTGAGACAGCTGAGCCATATTGTATAACCATTCCTCTTACACTCCTTGCTTGGGCAAATAGGAACTTGACACCATCTGGGTTCTTTACCTTCTTTTATGCGGAGTAGATGGCGGAAGCTCCATTTTAATTGGCAAAAATTGTTTAGTGTCTAGTGTAAATGTAGATCCAAGCTGGATGCTTCCTTAAGTGGCAAGACAGGATCATTTTACTGCAAAGCAGGTTGCTATAAAAATGCAGAACCCAGCCCACTAAAACCTGTTTATTAGTTAGTTCTCAATATGTTTGTTAAACGTGAGTTCTCATCAGTGTGTTCAGGCAATTCGCTTTGTGCTGGATTCCTTATAGCAAAGTCCAGATCTTTGTTAAGCATTAGGCATATGAGACCTTATCTCTATGGCTATAGCAAAGTAGTTATTCTGGACAAGATATGCCTGTCAATTTCCCTGGGTAAACAAGCCCCTAGAGCACAGGGTTGCAGGGCAGCGAGAAAAGTGGGCAAGCAAACAGTTGCAAAGACAGCTGGGCAGGCACAGGGAACCCGAGCAGTGGCCAGAGTTGCCATGCAGAGTAGAGGAAAAGGAAGAACAAGGGTTTAAGAGTAAAAGAGGCAGAGGCAAGAGGGCATCGTTTAAAAATTGGAAGTCAAATCTTACTGAGGAAAATAGAAAGGAGCATAAACTCTGTCAAGTCAAATGTAAAAGTACAATGCAGGCCAAAAAAGAATTTGAAGAGCAAAAGATACAAAAATAAACAGCAACTTTTTTTTAAGTACATCAGAAGCAGGAAGCCTGCCAAACAATCAGTGGGGCCACTAGACGATTAAGGTACTAAAGAAGCACTCAAGGAAGACAAGAAGAGAAGCTAAATGAATTCTTCACATTGCTTTTCATTGCAGAGAACGTGAAGAAGATTCCCACATCCGAGCCATTCTTTTTAGGTGACAAATCTCAGGAACTGTCCCAGATTGAGGTGTCAGTAGAAGAGGTTTTGAAACAAATTGATAAATTTAACAATAATAAGTCACAAGGACCAGTTGATATTCACTCCAGAGTTCTAAAGGAACTCAAATGTGAAATTGAAGAACTAACAACTGTGGTATGTAACCTATCGCTTAAATCAGCCTCTGTAGCAGATGACTGGAGGATAGCTAGTGTAACGCCTATTTAAAAAAAAAAAAAGGGGCTCAAGGGGTGATTCTGGCAATTACAGGCCAGTAAGCTTAACTTCAGTACCAGGTACATTGGTTGAAACTATAGTAAAGAACAGAATTAGCAGACACATATATGAACGCGATATGTTGGAGAAGAGTCAATGCTGCTTTTGTGAAGGCTAATCATGCCTTACCAATCTATTAGAATTCCTTGAGGGGTTCAATAAGCATGTGGATATAGTGTACTTGGACTTTCAGAAATGGTAGGAATAAATGGTCAGTTTTCACAATGGAGAAAGGTCAATGGGGGGGTGGGGTGTCCCCTAAGGATCTGTACTGGAACCTGTGCTGTTCAATATATTCATAAATGATCTGGAAAAGGGGATGCACAGTGAGGTGGCAAAATTTGCAGATGATGCAAAATTACTAAAGATAATTAAGTCTAACACTGACTGCAAAGAGTTACAAGTGGATCTTACAAAACTGGATGACTGAGCAATAAAATAGCAGATGAAATTCAATGTTGAAAAATTATCCCAGCAATACATACAAAATGGTGGGGTCTAAATTAGCTGTTACCACTCAAGAAAGAGATCTTGGAGTCATCTTGGATAGTTCTCTGAAAACATCTGTTCGATATGCAGCAACAGTGTAAAAAAAAAAAAAGCTAACAGAATGTTAGGAACCATCAGGAAAGGGATAGATAAGATAGAAAATATAATCTCAGTATATAAAGCCATGGTACACCTACATCTTGAATACTGTGTGCAGTTCTGGTTGCCTCATGTCAAAAAAAAGATATAGTTGAATTGGAGAAGGTAGAGAGAAGGGCAACAAAAATGACTAGGGGTATGGAACAGCTTCCATATGAGGGGAGATTTAAAAGACAGTTTAGAAAAGAGATTAAGGTAGGATATGATTGAGGTCTATAAAGTCATGAATGGTCCAGAGAAAGTGAATAAGGAAGTGTTATTTACTCTTTCACATAAAACAAAAACCAGGGTTTGCCCAATGGAATTAATAGGCCGCAGATTTAAAACAAACATAAGGAAGTACTTGATGCAACGTACAATTCATTGCCAGAGGATGTTGTGAAGGCCAAAAGTATAACTGGGTTCAAAAAAGAACTAGATCAATTCATGGAGGATAGGTCCATTGCTGGTTATTAGACATAGCCCCAGTCCCTAAACCGGAAGCTGGGACTGGACAAGGGATGGATCAATTGAAATTACCCTGTTCTGTTCTCTCTGAAGCATCTGGCACCAGGATAACTGAGCTAGATGGACCATTGGTCTGACCCATTATGGTCATTTTTATGTTTTATGTTAAGTGGAGCTAAAGTTGGCTGAGGAAAGCCTGGTCTGTGAGAAGAAAAGGCTGGAGAGAATAGTTCAGGAAACTTTTGAGCTCTGTACTGGTCAAAACATGCTTTATGTTGTACCAGCAGAAAGGGGTATTTTATAGCCTTCAGAGAGGAGGGTCAGTGGGTCAATGTGGCCCTGAACCCATAAACAGCAAACAAAGAGTTTTTTGTTTTGTGTTTTTCAAACTCGCCCTCCTAGTGTGCTAGGCAATTATTTTAAAAAATAAACTATAAATTAGGATCCACCTCCAACAATTGAACCTCCCCTTCCATTTCCACACCTTCTATTTCCATTCACTATTGCGCTGCACCTTGTGTAGTAACCTGCATCAGCACAAGGTGAGAAATGTTACTACCTCAGAATGGCTGTAATTTCATATCCACTTAGCACTAGTGTGTGGGACTACACAAGGTGCAAGGCCTGGTGAATTGGACCAAAGTTTTTTGTCTGTCCCACATTCAAATTTTTTTTTTTAAAAAAAGCTTTTAAACAAAGTTATGCCCGTCCATACAACATTGTTAGCTGAAATGGATTATTTATTAAAAAGTTGTTTCTGTATCGTAGATGAGGCTTTCCACAGCAGGCTACAGTACTCAAACTATAAATTGCACTGCTGAGTGCGTACAGAGGAGGTTCAGTGGTGCTCTCCTCAGCTAGAAACATTAGTTCAGCTTGTTTTCTGCATTACAATGGTCACCTGGAATTGAAATAAGCCAAAGACCAGAAGAGTGTAACATTTTTTTTCAGCACAGTGCAACATCTAAGTTGCTTTTCTGGGGTAAGGCTGTGTTGGATCAAGCCATGGTTTTGATTTCTTTCCGTTCCAAGCACAATTCCCTGCCAGCAAATACCTAAAGCCCTGAGGCATCTAAATAGGGGAAATGCTTATAGAATGAGCTGTATGTTCTCGTAAAACTAGCCAGATGGCTCATTTTTGTAATCAGCAACTTTTAAAGAAACAGCAGCTTAGTATTTGTGCTGTTCTCTTCTTCCTTTATCAAAACTGCCAGCATTACTGCACTAGTGCCTTCACTTTCTAGCGTGCTAACCAGCCCCTCTCCCTTTTTAAAGACATTTTTATGCCAGTCTACCTCCCCAGCCGTTTTTGCTCAATTGTGCCAGTGTTTAATTCTCTGCAGGAACAGACGTTTAACCCATTGGGAGCTAGCAGGCATTTCAGGTCAAATTTTGCCTTCTCACAAGCTACAAGCAACTTTTGTTGATTGAAGTGGGCATTGCCAATGTGTGTTGTTCGTAATACACTTCAAACCAGAACTAGCACCTTTGTTTATTGCATTAACACATTGTAAAATGGGGGGGGGGGGGAATATGCCTAACAGTGCCTGCACCAGCAAGTTTAACCAGATGCTCACTAGTAGTGTGGAAAAGATGCTTCTCGGGATCCAGAAAGGTACTTTGCTATGTAGAATGGTCCCTACGGGGCAGCACCGGAGAAGATTTACTCTCCTTCCTTCTCATTGCAAATGGCTGGAAGGGCTGTGTTAGGGAATTTAAAGAGCAATATACCGGTCCCTGCTTAGAAAGATGGGGATCCTCAGGACCAGTCTTGCTTGGAGACAGCCCTACTAGGGGAGAATTCAGAGGTACCAAGAAAATGAAGCTAAAGATTAAATGAATATCTAGCTCCTATCAGACAGGAACATCTCACAAAATTTCTCTTTAAGTAATGTAGTACTTTTGTGGCGTGTTGCATCTTTCATGTGCTGTATCCAGTGCTTCTCAAAGTCGGTCCGCCGCTTGTTCAGGGAAAGCACCTGGCAGTCTGGGCCGGTTTGTTTACCTGCTGCGTCCGCAGGTTCGGCCGATCACAGCTCCCACTGGCCGCGGTTTGCCATCCCAGGCCAATGGGGGCTGCGGGAAGCGGCGCAGGCCGAGGGATGTGTTGGCCGCCCTTCCCGCAGTTCCCATTGGCCTGGAGTGACGAACCGCAGCCAGTGGGAGCCGCGATGGACCGAACCTGCGGACGTGGCAGGTAAACAAACCGTCCCGGCTCACCAGGGGCTTTCCCTGACCAAGCGGCGGCCCGACTTTGAGAAGCACTGCTGTATACCGTCCACCGGCTGGCTTTTCAGAAAGACTGGAGTCTATGTATGCGCTGTGGTCACATTCAGAATGATAGCGTGTGCAAGTACACAAGTAGGTATATGGAATGGCAGTGGCCCTCTGCCCTCTGATTCAGGCACCAATATTTTCTCCACTCATTGGTAAAAAAATAAGGCTACATTTGTTTTACATATGGGGAAACAGGCAGAGAAATGAACAAATTTACTTTAAAGGCACAGATAGAGCCCATGTTAGCGGTGGGAGGAACTTTTTCATGTTTAGAGAGCTCTATGTTCTAAGAGTAAGCTAATCTGGCTATGTCTAATGTGCTAGTTTAATTTAATACAGTGATCAGACTGGCAACTTTTAACTGAAGGTGTTTTAGGAAGAATTACTTGCAAAACCAGCTCTGTGCTTAAGACACCGAACCAGGAACAAGCAGTAACTAGTTATGTCCAAGTGGTCTTTGAACAGAGGCCTGACTCTTGCATTGAACCTCACTCCCAGTGGTAGACTTATGGAAACATAGCAGCAAACTAATAGTTCAAAGAACTAAAAGGCCCTATTTCTATCACAGCTTATTTCTTCAAATCAGAGTAACCAAAAATGATAGTTTAACTCCAGATTTTCTAAATATAGCCAGTCCTCTTTACTCTGTGGTTGGTTTAATCTGTGTGGTATTCAAGAAATTTAAATATAAATCCACTTTAGTTTTGCTGCAGCACTGATTTAATTGGAAGTTGGGTTTTTTTAGTCCAAATACATTTTCACACTAATCTAGATGAGTCAGGTCATATTTTAAATGCATTTTTAAATATTCTATAGAAAAATATGGCTAAAATAAAATAAAGCCAAAGTTAGTGTGGTTCTGCTATATAAAGTAGCTACAGCATCTTAATAGGTCTGCCCTTTACATGATCAGATTCACGTATGGAGATGTTTGGGGAAAATGTCTAGGAATTTGAAATTGATGAAAAATGGAGTTTTCTACAGGAAATGTTTCTTTTTTAGTCAGCTCTACAACATTTCACCTCAAGCCTCCCGGAAATGAGCTTTTTTTTTAAAGTATATAAATAGTACTTAATAGAAAGAAGCTTTAAGTAATCAATTCATAGAAGTAGCTTTGCCAACCAACACCATTTTAACCGCTCTAAGCCAGTGTTTATCAAATCACTCAGCCATTCGGCGATGGCTTTTTATTAGAGATTGGCTTGAACCCGCTTTCCCAGACCTGAACGTTCCTAACCTTTTTATACATCTAGCAACTGGCTGACATGGACCAGCTTCCATTGCAGCTCAGTATAGTTGTTGGACCAGAAGCCAAGCCCTTACCTTAATACACCATCTGTGTTGATGAAAGCTGTGTGGGTTTTTTTTTGTTAGTGTTGTATTGAATGTTAGTTGCTAAATGTTTTTGTAAAACTATCATCCACCAACAGAACACTTCCTCTCCTCTCTGTATATGCCATACTACTTTGTCAGGATATTAAAACACTTTTTCCAGAAGCAACTTAATAAGTTCCATGGTTATGTACAATGAACAGTAAGTCACAGAATTGTAGTTCTTGTTAAGGGGCAAGTATTGTATGCAACACCGTCTTTGTTTCTATAACTGTCAAGATTTGTTGTAAATATTTGCAGTGTTTGAAGTCTTTTTTTCCTTAAATGTAAGAAATGTCTACTGTCCAGTACTAAGTTATTTCCCAATGTTTCCATACTTCCTACATACAGAGAGGAGTTACTTTCTTAAAGCAACATAAGGATCAGTGCAGATTTGTTTTTATTCTGTAGAGCATCCCCAAACCCCCTGAGTGAGTCACCTCTTAGAATTCTTACAGTATGCACTGCAAATGCTTAATACCTGTGGAGTTTGTACTATTGTGCATAGTCCCCTTGAAAGCACTAAAAGTGTTTGCAGGATCAAGCCCTTCCTTTGATATCAAAAGGATGTAGGTAAAAAGATGCAATTATCTGAAATTTAAGATACCTGTTCTGCCCATCATGAGCGCATGGGCCACTTCTCTGTATTCCGTTTAGAGAAACTCTTTTACATATTGATCTAAAAACTGTGATCTAAGATTGTGTTGTGCAAAAATGCAGTCTCTCAAACACTTTGACAACAAGAACCAATTCAACTGTATTCCATCTTTGAAAGATTACTTTAACTTTCATACACACTGAAAATAATGATCCCCATCAATGAAAACATATGGGTACAATAGAGGGAAACTACTGAGGCCCAATAAATACATTATATGTGCTTAAAAAAAGCAATTAATAAGATCTGCCATCAGATCTAAGTGCACATAACTAGCTATTTCTTACATTTGTTTAATTACAGTTTTTGTTGTGTTTAAGTGATCTAAAAGCTATTTTAGTTCTTTAACAATGAATAATTTTAATACAGAAAGAAAACTAACATGTCTTCAAGACTAATAATCTGAAAAGCCACTATTGACATGGGCAGTATTTCCTGTATTCATAAACAAGTGTATGTGTTTGTTTAAGGAAAAGAGGCCTTTTTCTGGTCCCCTTTAATGATTGTTGAAAGTCCATGCACAACTAGCAGCAGCCAACTTTAAATTGACTTTGCTAAAACCCCCTGGGGATGGGGAGCAAATCACTTGGCAGTGTTGTGGTTTGACTAGAGGAGTTATGCATGTAAAAATAAATAAAAAGTTCCTTGAAAGTTTAAAAAGAAATTGGTCCCAGAGGAAAGGACAGTCCAAGAGCTTATGGTTAACCAATCCATAACCATGATTTATTTTCACTTTGAAAGTTGGTTGAGCTGGGAAAAAGGGATTCACACATACACCTCACAGAAGGAAAATCTTGCCCTGATTGTTTTTTAAAATCACTATATACTGAAGATGTGTTTCATATAAAACCCTTCACTCTTTACAATGACAATATCAGATAATTTTCCTTTTTACCATCATATACACAACATTTAAATATTATGAATAGACAAAATCTATTTTATAAATACTTTAGATCAAAGTAAGTTATAATATCACAGTTGAGAGCCACATCTGTACAAAATGTTAGCAACATATATAAAATGATTAAGAAAGAAATTTAAAGTAGAACAGTCACAAGAGCTTCCACTTTTTACAGTATTTATGGTTCAAGTGGGAACATCTAAGAGAGATACATGAGCCCAGAGTGCTAACTAAGGATTTTGAAGAAACAGTACGGGATGTTGCACACTCAATGGCAAACCATTATTGTATTATTTTGCCTCCTTCCCACTTCAGCATCTCTACAGTTTCCAGTTTTTAAAACAAACATTTTCACAAACAGAAAGACAAAGTTCTACCTCAAGTGTTTTCTCTTCTTTTAACAAGTTTAATGAACAAAAATCCCTAACTAGAGACCAAGTTCATCAACTGTAAGTAAAAGAAGAATATGGGAAATGCTTGGCTTCCAACTGTGGCTTGTTTTGATTGACATATTTAAAAGATGAACAGTAATAACTTATTAAAAAGTAATACAAAATGTTTTAGGCCCTGATCCTGTAAATTCTTACATATGTTTAGCTTTACTCATAACTTTACTCATGTGGGTAGTGCTACATATATAACTAAGCATTTGGAGGATCAGGGCCTAATATTTCGAAGCAATAACAGAATGTTGACTTAAAAGGTTCATAGCTGTTTAAAGACAAAAAATGATCTGAATGTTAGTTCTGTCTTTACTTGTCTGTAAGACCTCAGTTCTATATGCTAGCTGATGACCTCACTAACAAAAAAAAATCCCACTGCAAGAACTGTTGCTTTTTAATCTTTGTGTCAAAGTTGAAAATGCTGTTTTGAATTAAAAAGACATCGTGGCAAGTATAAAAAAATATTTCAGAACATTTAAAGTCTACTGGAGATAAGTTGTTCATAGAACACTCTTGAAGAATAAAATTCTGACTAGTTTGATTTTAAAAAAGCCTTTCAGTTCACCCTTCTTATTTCAGTAAGTATTTTATATTCCTTTTTAGGCACTGAAAATATTCATAATATAACTGGATGTGCAGAAGATTCATTCTACTGTCAGTAATGCATTTTCAGTGCCATGTAATTAATTCTGTGGCCTTGAATAAATTCTGTAGTACGAGTGTTAATAATCAATAGGCCCAAGTCTTGGATCTTGTCAACCTGAGCTCAATGCAGGACATAACTGGGGTAGGATGGGGAGAGGTGGTATTTTAAGCTACCCTTCTGGCTCACAGCTTCTGAATACAAAGGGTCCATAGCAGAATCTAGAATTGGGCTTAAATGCAGTGCAATAACCTCAGATTTCTTTCCCTCTTCCATGAACTCAAATTCTAAAAAGAGCTTTATACATCTGTACTGGCCTTTTAGGTAACATTGATAAACAGATCAGGTTCAAGTTAAACTATTCATTTTCATTTAATCTAGGACAGGACCTGAGATAAGATATTACACCAATACTTTTGCGAAAGCTGCAATGCTTTGTATCTAACGTTTTCCTACTTCATCTTAACTTTTTATATAAGAAGTGCAAATCTTAAATATGTTTATTTTTTCCCCTCTCCAAGTACCTTTCTCTGATGTAGGAATGGTCATATTTACATTTTAACTCATTTTCATATTTGTATGGGGAATTGGAGAAGAACAGATGGGAAAGCAGTTGGAATATGGTATAGAAGCAGCAGTGGAAATCAGGTTATCAAGTCACACTGCTTCACATGATCACATCTAACTCCAAGGTGGAAGTGATCGAATGAAACAGTTTAAAGTAGGTAAGTGTTTTCTGCTAGCAGCTAGAAAGTTTGGTTCCGTAAGCAAGTGTTTTTCCCCACAGGATCTGGCTTTACAGGTTAGGTAGGTCTTCACTGATTTCATATACTGTCTGAACTACCTGTGGTATCTACAGTACACAAGGATGTCCAATATTCTGAGGCTTGAGTTCTGTCCTGTAGGGTATGAGAAGGAACTTTCTGCAGAACTTTCTAGTCAATGTAGCTGAGACGTTTATTTGCCTCCATACATTCGCTCGATATCATTGAGGTAATGGTTCTTTAATTCCTTCCTTTTCAATTTGAAAGCATCAGTTACTAGACCAGTCTCTGGGGTCCATGGTTCAGGGCTTAACCGTACTTTGATTGGTATTTCAAATCTCTCTAATTTCACTGCAGGGGCAATAAAAACAAAACACATTTATGATTACATTCACAGATAAAACACTGATTTATACAACTTCATGAACAGGAATAAGACTTATATTCAGTAGTCTGCTGTACTATATAGTGGAATAGTTTCATATCAATACAGTCACGGAAGCAACTCACTGAAGAAAGAAAATGCAAACTTATGGTTGTAATACTTAGTATTTGCTATTACATCCAAGTATTCTAGTAACACATGCCATAGCATTTATCTTTTGTACAGCTCCAGTGGATTGGCACTGTAAATAAAAAAAAGTGCCAAACAAATGAGGATCACAGAATAAAATCTCAAAGCAGTAACAAAGTTTCACGCTAAATGAAAAGTGCAAAACAAATGAGTCCCTACCTCAAAAGAGACTGCATTATAGGCAAAATCGGGTATAAAAAAAAAAAAAAAGTGGCTGTAGCATGCACTAGGAAGTTAGCTGTGAGCAAGGATTACATGATCAGGCCCATGATTATTATTATTCACAGCAGCAATTGAAGGATGAAACTGATTGTACTCATACCATGCGATAGGATATGATGATCCACCCAAGTTTTATACATATATTTTTTACTGTGCAGTTTTGTAGAATATTTTAGTAGAACACAGTTGACAACTTTTAAAAGTGTGTGCGCACACAAATCCAACTACAGTCTAAGCTAGGGATGTGTGCATATACACGTGTGCACTCTCACATTATGGACAACACTGCATGCACACTTTAGTCATAACATGCAGAGGGGTAAGATTTTCAAAACATGTTTAGGGGACATACTTGTTTCCAATGTACAGTCCATGGATAACGATGCTAATTCATCTGTTGGTTTTCTGTGTCTTTTAAAAATATTCTTAGGGGGGAAAAAACAAATTGCCAAAAAAGTCTGTTCCAGCATAGACTAAATGGGGTAAGTTTTATTCTTAGAAATGAAGTTGTTAAATCAGAAGAGTTCCAAAGTGAGCAAGCATTTCCTTACTTTTGTTAGTGTCATTTAAAGTCCACATGGCTCTTAAAAAAAGTCAGTTCCCTCAAATGAGAAATCCTTGCTTGCAGCCAACAGTGGCCAAATTATGAACCCTTGAAAATGAATTATCAATGGAAATGCTGAAAGTCATTTAACATTTTTAGATTATGTATTCTTCAGAGTAGGGATTGTCTTATTCTGTGTTTATACAGGGCCTAGCATAATAGGGCTCCAATCTCAGGTAACCCTTTGGCACTATCATAATTAACCATAATAACAATAAATAAGGATATTGGCTTTATAATGTTAATACTTCAGCAAAACAGAGTAAAATGAAACTGAAATAAAACCACCACGCCCAATTAGAAACTGAATTTCCAAAACAGGCTATCACAATACAACCAGTAGATGGCAGTAACTGTACAATTATTAGAATCAGTGGCCACAAAGCTCCTGCTGTATGACCTAACTTTATAGCTTTAACTTTAGACTGTTATTGCAATATAGTTTTGTTTTCATTTAGATATATGCCTTTTTGTGATTGAACTACAAAATGTTCTGCTAAAAACTAATTCCAAGATGATTAGTTTAATGTTCCCTTGGAACGAAGGCCAAAGGAAAAATCTTGGCCTTAGTTCTATCTAAAACATTAGTGCCGTCAAGGATTTTTTTCTATAAGCCAAACAAGAATAAAAAAAAAGTTATGTGGAAAACATTTTATGATTTACATGTAACACAGTAATATAGAGTTAAGTTTTTCACCAGTTCAATGGGACACATGGAAATTTAACAAAACTCATGCAAAACAAAAACTTAGCACTGCCTACCATCCTCTTAGAATTGTATTGTAAATGTTATTTAACCTATTGTCCTGATTAAAATAGGCTGATTCTCATCTTGTAGGAATAAAGTGATGAAAGAGTGTTTAATGTGTACTCTATTAGTACGGTTATTGCCAGAATAAGTGAAATTGAGACAAAACCCAATACCATCTTTAGTGTTTCCTGTTTGGCCATAAAGTCTCAATTAATTTTCCTTGTTCCTTGAAACCCTTGAAAATTCACCCTACGTTTCTTTGGCCTCATAGGCTATGTTAGAGAGCAGCCAGACCAGCTTTTGGCCATTCATTCAGCACTACAACAAGGATTAGCAGAACGTTTTAGAACCAACTGGACTGGATTCCTAGTGTCCTGCTTTAGGAACAAGAAAACTGCCCGAAAGTGTGCTCCTCTACTCACATTCAGAGAATTTTGAATAGAGTCAAATCTTACCAACTACATCCAGAGGTAACATGTTCCACAGATTTCCCAGCAAGTTAGAAAACATGGGCGAGAGGACTATATCTACAGATGTTTTGCTGCCCCTTTTCAGCTTCATGTGAAATTGGCTTAGTACAGTATACAAAACAATTCAGTTATACTCACTCTTATCTGCCACCTCTTTAATCTCTTTCAATATCTCAGCTTCCATGATAGGATTGTTACAGATTTCCACCCAAGTTCCCTTGACACCTTTCTGTTCAGCTAATACAGTCAGCTTCTTCTGATTAGGAACCACAAAACTGATCACATAAGACTGATCACTAAAACAGGATGAGAGGACAAGAAAAAAACAGGCAAGTAAGAAGAATTTCAGATTGTCAACAATTACTTGAGTCTAAGTAAATATTCCCCAGTGCTTTCAGATAGATAGCGAATTTCTTCCTCTCCTCCCCCCTCCACACTATTCAACCTTTATCATGAAGGTTTTTTAATAAGTGACTGGATTCAATCAGTCTCATATTTAGATCTAGAGAGAAGTTATAGAATGGTCCAGAGTCTCTACTAAATCCAGTATCCAGCAAGTGAGTGCAAGTAAAGTCTCACCATCTACTCCTAAGGGAAGGTGGGGGACTTTTCCAAAGCCCACGGAAAATGCTTTGGATCAGGCTTTAAGTGTCAAGATAAACACCACTGTAGCATTTGGACTGAACGCCAAAACCATCTATAAACAATAGATTATACTTATGTTTAGTAAGAAGGCTGGTATTTTCAGTTTCCCTGTCCCTGCATTGGGAGCAGGAACATAGGCGGCGGGTCGCATAGGCTGGGGGAGGCTGTGCCTCCCCAAACAGCCAGCCATGGTCCCACCCCCTGCAGTGAGTGCTCCCTGCATGCAGCTCCAGTCCTCCAGCTCCAACCCCCCTAGTGCTCCGGCTAGAGAGGCTTAGGCTGCGCGCCGCCCGCCTTCCCGCGCTCCAGAGCTGGGGAGGCTGCAGCCGCCCGCCCTCCCAGGCTGGGGCCGCACGCTGCCCACCCTCCTGGCGCTCCTTTGGGGCTGGGGGAGCTAGCCGTGGGACTGGGTCCATGGCCATCGTGGGGGGAGGGGGGGGAGGGAAGGGGAGACTAGCCTCCCCCAGCTGGTGGTTCACGTGCCACCCATGGACAGTAATGAGGGGAGTTGTGGTGGGAAACACATACGCACATCAAGGGAGCTTTAAGCTGATCCTGCACTTCCCCTATTCTGGTGCAGCTGGGAACCTGCTTGGCCTCAGCCCTATGCTAATTTACACATTGCTTCCCATTGTTCTCGAAAGGCCTGTGTATGCAGAAGACAGCTGTAGCATAGTGCACACTGACCACACCCCTCCCTCCTACTCCCTACAAGGCTTGTTGGGAACAGGGCCAGGATAGAACTTTTATGCGGGGGGGGGGGGGGGGGAAAGAGAGGGAGGGAGGAGAGAGAGCAGCCTCAGGGGTATTTCCATCCCCTTTACTCTTTTAGTGCTGTAAGAGGGCCTTAGTGTTCTGGAGAATTAGGCCTACAATCTGCATTTCAGACGAAGGATTTTTGAATACCATAGGTAAATCAAGCATTAAATAAAAGAATGCCCCTAAATGAGTTTGAGGTGAAGAGAGAATATTAACGTAACTCTTACCTTTTGGCATAAGCACATATATTGTCAATAAGTGGACAGTTCTTCAGTGCTGCCTCTACTTTACCCAGAGATACATATTCTCCTGCTTGCAACTTCACCAAATCTTTTTTTCGATCTAGGAACAGTTAGAAAGGCATGCTGCTTTAAAGGAGTTTAGATTCCTCCACTTGTATATACTCAGTTAAAATAGTTTAAGTACCACATTTTAAATGCTTATTTAATTTTAATGGAATACCATGCAAAAGACTTTAAAAAAAAAATACAAGAGAAAGAATGCCAAACAAATCACCTAGAAGCTGTTAGCATTTAATTTTTAAGGAAATGTCCATTTTAAAAAATACCCTTAAGAAGTAATTTTCAGACTTGCAACTAATATTAAAAGTCACTGAGAATCTAAACTTTAGCCATTAATACATAAAAACGAAGTGGGAATTTTCAAAGTGAAGGCTGAGTAGAGACAGTAAATGAGATTACAGACAACAGCATCAGTTTCAGGGCTTCGCACAATCACTAAATTTTGAGAACATGTTTTAACACCATGATTAAGCAAATTACTGAAGTGTGTAGCTTTAAGCATGAGTAGTCCTACTGGCTTCAATGAGACTATTCACATGGGTGAGGTTATGCTCTTGCTTAACTGGCATTTAAATTGGCAAAAAGTGTAAACTCCCAACCTATGATCTGCAGACACCCATCAGGATGAAATTCTCCAATATCTCCAGTACAAAACCATCTCTGGCCATTTTCATCCACGGAGAAATCCTCTGTCTTTTCTTCATTTTTAAAGTATCCCATAGAGACATTAGGTCCACCTATTATAATCTCTCCTCTAGGATTAGGCTTGTCTCTGCAAGTGTAGCCCCCTGAAAGTCAGATAAGTAAAACTGTTTTCAAGTCAGAATGATACAATATACATTCCTCTCCCAGGCAAATATTGAAGAATCCACACACAAAATAAAACAGAAAAATATAAAGTGATTATCCATTTATCAAGAGATCACAAAATGCTAATACTCAATTACATCAACATCGACAGTTGATTATGCGGACAGCAGGAAAACAGGCTAGGCAACAGTAAAACTAGTTACTTGGAGATCAAAATATTATACTCTTACACATATTATGCAATAGTGATCATGTATTTGCATGAATCTGAAAGGCTTGGTAGCTGTGCAGTTTGTCATCACTATCTGTTTGCTGTGTATCTTCAGGTTTGAACTCCAGCTGAACATTTTGACAAGAACGGTTCATATTCATGTTTTACCTGTAGCTTGAAACTAGCAGCCAGATTCACTGAAAGAATTAAGTAGAATGTGCTGAAAGGAAAAAAAAAAAAGTTCTCACCTTCTTTCCAGTCTCTCAATTTAATCTCACAGCAAATAAGAGGAGCCCCAACTCTGCCAGTGCTATAGTCAGAAACTATGGGAAGTTAGAAAGGAACAGTAAGATGGTGGCCAAAGGTTTTTTTTAATCTGACAATATTGAAATGTAAACACAGAGCTGGAATAGGAAGGTAGCTATTAATTCAAGTTATTCTCTAGAAGTTAAGAGCTACAAATGTTTTCAATATACTTTAAAATTAAAGAATTCACACATCTACATTAAACATGCATATTTCCAAGAGTATGTTAACATACCTTCAGTAATTGTTCCAGCTCCACAGGTTTCTGTTAATCCATAACCCTGGCCAACAGGACAGCAGAAACAGATGTTCATGAACCTTTGTGTCTGAGGCGAAAGAGGTGCTCCTCCAGAAAGCATCATACGCACATTTCCTCCTAGCAATGCTTTTACCTTTTTAAACAGCAGTCTTGAGGTAAAAGAAACCATGTATAAATATCACTTGTTCTGCTCCTTTGCAGGAAAGGCTAGAGACTCTAATATCCCTCCTTACCTATTCAGCTGACACATCTAACAAGTAATAAGATTCACAGATTTTAAAGGCCCAAAGGGACCATCATGATGATGTAGTCTGTCAAGTATTACCCAAGCCATAGAATTTTACGCAGTAACTCCTGCATCTAGCCCAATATCTTGTAGCTGAAATAGAGCATTTCTTTTAGAAAGACATCCAGTCTTGTTTTAAAAAAATCCAAGAGATGAAAAATTTACCACATTCCTGGGTAATGTGTTTCAATGATTACTGTTAGACTTTCATCTTATTTTCAGTCTGAACTTTTCTGAATTAGACTTAGTCAGTGGATCTCGTTATGCCTTTGTTAGCCCAGAGTCCTCTAGTACCAGATTACCTACACAAGGAGAATTGCTTATAGATTGTGATCAAGTCACCCCTTAATCTCTGATAAATTATATACATTGGAAGATATTTGAACCTTTAACTGTACTTACATATTACACAGAGGTGCATCATACCCCCTTTTGATCTGTTCCAGTTTATAGTCATAGCCTATCTTGAACAGAGTTCTCTGAATATAGTTCATCTCTTGGACTTTACTCATGACATTCTTATAAATTCGGTCCATTATTTCCTACAGCGAAGATTGAAAAGGGGACAAAGAATTACTACTTCTGATTGAAAACATGCATCAAACCTAACTAAAAAACAAAACCAGAAAAGTACTGTTCATTTTAAATGGATGATTTCACTTTAGCTATGCAGTCTCTGCCAAATTGTTGTATAATACTTAACATTTTCCCTTAATATGTCATCTATTTAATGAATTTATATTCTATTACATCTCAGGACTATTCAAGGTGGTAGAATAATGTGTGGAAATGGGTAACGGAAATGGAGGACAAGGTCACATTTTTTCCTTTCCTCATCCATCCCACCTCATAAACCTCTTTTAAGTTATGAAGTTGATTGCCTAGGAAAAAGAAAAAGCCTCACATAGTAAAACATTTTAGTATGGCAATCTGGCCTTGAATTGCTATAATCAGTCCTGGGCAAGTAACCAAATTACCTCTGAGACCATTTAGAAGTGTTCCAATAGTTAACAGTACCACTGACTCACTTCTACAAGCTGCATCTTAAACCTTAGACTTTTTTTTTAAACACTCTTCACATCAATGTTGTTAGCCATCTAGTGATGTTGCTGGAGTGAATATATGGAAAAATAAAAATGTCCTTGCTAATGTCTAAGTCTGCGTGTCTGTCATGGAGGTCACAGATTCTGTGACTCTCCATAATCTCTGACTTTTGCAGGGGCTGGTGCGGCTGGCTCAGGGGCTGCCCGAACAGCAGCAGCAGTTTGGGTGTGGGAGGGGGCTCAGGGCTGGGTCAGGGAGTTGGGTTGCGGGGTGGCACTTATCTTGGGTGGGGGGGGGGGAAGGGGAGCTCCCCCAGAAGCGGCTGGCATGTCCCTGTAGCTCTTAGGTGGAGGGCCGGGGGCTCTGCACACTGCCTGTGCTTGCACGCACCACCCCCGCAGCCCCCATTGGCTGCGGTTCCCCTCCAGGCTGCCAGCCCCTCCAACCCCTCTCCAGCACCAGTGGGGTCCCAGGCCATGCACTGCCACCTGCCCCCCTTCCCCCGCCTCCCCTCCCCCCATAGCACCCGCAGCCTCCCGGCCCAAGTTTTAATTAGGGGTATATAGTACAAGTCATGGACAGGTCACGGGCCATGAATTTTTGTTTACTGCCAGTGACCTGTCCATGACTTTTACTAAAAATACCCATGACTAAAACGTAGCCTTAATCATGTCCTCTACCTTCTCATACTTACAGGCACAGCCGCTATGAGTGTGGGCTTCAGTACAGTACAGTCTCCTTTGCTTCCCTTCTTAATTTTACTTGACTGAAATAAAGACAAACGTGAAGACGTTAAACTGAGAAACTGGTGACTGGTTAGGGGAGAAAACCTAATGTGCAGTTTCTGAAGTTCTCCCCCTCCTTCCCCAGATTATTATTTTCTCAGTGGGGTGGAGCAGAAAGGTATATTGTCAGCTTCATCTCATGCCAAATATATCTGCTGAAATCAAAGCCTGCTAGAACAAGCCACGTTATATGTATCGTTTTTGCTTTCTTTATTTATCCTTCTAGTATTTTCTTTTGTATGGTGTGACTTCAAGGGGGTGATTTTCAATTGGAACCAAGTTATGATGATCCCTACAAATCCATTGGACATTGATTTGTTGTTTTCTTGGTGCCTCAGTGTTTCCAAGCTGTGCATCTGCTGGCTAGTTTGCATAACAAACTTGTATTCATTTTCTCTTCTACTTTATTACATTCTTCAGCATGTGTATGGTGTTCTCAGTTATTTACATTTGGAGGCTGCAGATACATATTGCAGCCTTTCATTGATCATTTACCCATTTCCAGCCAAGTACCTCTGCCCCTTCAGTCAGCTAATGGAGGATTTTCTGCTATGGGTTTCACCTCGTTGACAACTATTAGGCAAGCAAAAGAGAACCAAAAGCTGACTAAAGGGGCAAACTAGTGATTTATAAAGCAATTACTGGCCAGGCAGGGCAGGCTCAGCAGAGCTTTTAGACAAACTAATTTTCTTTTATGTGTATTATCCAATGGTTAAATCATTTTTTTTTTAAATCATAGAACTAAAAGAACATTTAACACTCATAGCCAGCTACAGCAAAAATCAAGTGCAGTTAGTCTTTTGTGACAATGGGTAATCCTGAAACTACTGAGGCAGAAAGAAAAACTTACATGCAGTCATTTGGTTTTCTTTTAATTTACAGGTAATTCTGACTTTACCTAAAGATGACGAAAGCTCAAAATTTAGATAGAAATGCATGTTATGTGGTCTATTGTACAGTTTCACCAGGAGCTTAGTTTTGTTTGTGGTTACGTTTTCAGAAGGTACTACTGCTTTTGACATTAACTGCATTGTATATCATATTTTTGCAAGACAAATGACTGACCAAGAAAAATAAAAAAGTACAACAACCCAGATTTTGCTTAACCACTGTGCTGAAAGTTTCCCCTCACCTGGTCCGATAGAGTGAGTGGAGAGGAGTATCCAATCCTGCAGCCATAGGTAACGCAGGACATTTCTGCTGTCAATTCTAATACATGAGCCAGAGGCAAGTAGCCAACATAAGTGTCCTTGGGTCTAGCAAAGCAAGGATTATATAATTAACTTGGGGATCCAAGAGTGGGCTGAAAATATTTCATCTAGTGCAACAGAGGATTGTATATTCAAGAACAAAAAGACAGAATTACTAGTTTTCCAAAAGTCTACATCATAACAGTTCACTACTGGAGTCTATTCTCCTGTATGCGGTAACCACACTGGGAATTCTCTAAGCTCAACATTTGAAAGTCCCATTGCAGTTGATGGGAATTTTGTCACTAACTTCAACAAGGGCAGGATTTCACCCACTGATTCTAGCAGAGGGAGTCTTCTTGCAGTGAAACACGGGAGGTCCTTAGTGCTCCAACTGCCTTTTCCTTTCCAGTGGGAGGTCTCTTATCCCAGTTACGGAGTTAAAGCTGAACCTAGCTTCTATTTGGGGGTCATTTCAAAGGTGTCATTCCCCTCACGAACTTGCTGAGAAGGCGGTGCAGGGATACCAATTTATCCTTCAACACACTGAAAAACCCTCATGAAAGTTTGCCATTACTTGGTTACTGAATAGCCAAAACTTAATATATTTCTCTGTTCATTTTATTGCCTATTTTATCTCAATATATAAGCTTAATAAAAATAATTTAAAAAATGAAAGACCAAATTAGCTGCCAAATGAAAGTGGTCTTTTAAACCAGCTTGAAGTGAGCAAAGTGTTTAAGCAGATTGTGTATAGCACATGTAGAAGGATCTATACGGGCCTGGTCTCATCAGACCCCCGGAATAGGCAGGCCTTTGACAGATTCCTTGAAGTTATCTGATCTGCTCAAAAATTTCTGCTTAGAAACCACCAGCCTCTGCATTCCACTTTCTCAGGAATGCTGATAAGGACAGGGAACCAATAATAATCTACAGACAGATACCCTGTGCAAAAAGATATGGTCAGACTCTCCCCATAGTGATCAGTTATGATGGATATCTTGAAAGTACATCTCAGGAGGAGACATAACTAAAGAAGTCATACTGTCTTCTATCTTTTTGAACCTCATTTAGTTGTAGAAACATCATAACATGACTAAAGAGCTAGAGACACACTTATGGTTGCGTCCAAGAGCATGATAAATTCAAAGTGATTCCAGAAATATCACTTCATATACGATGTAAGATTAGTGGATAAAAAACAGGATTTGCTGAAGTTCATATTTTTAAAAGAAACAGTCACCAGGAATCTCAAAATTATACAAGTGATAGGTTTTCTGGAATCCAGGAACATTTATTCCAATTAAATAAAACAAAATGGTATTTTATACATACATGGGGCAACTGAGCATTTCTTACCCTAGTCCAGGTATTCTCTCACACTGGCCTGTCATTCCAGCTATCAAGTTCTTATGCATCATCATCACTCCTTTAGGTCTCCCAGTAGACCCACTAGTATACATTACTAAAGCCAGGTCTGTGGGAACAGGTTTGCTTGGAGGGATGTCTACTACAAAAGGTACAAAGGGGGGGAAAAAATCATTCACATGGACTTTAGCAGGAAGTGATTACTTCTTGAACAAACTAAGAGATGAAATCGAAGCTCCAGAAAGAGTAAACTAAGTTAACTGGTCTTCATAAGACTGACAAACAAAGTTAGTGATGCTCTACTGGTAAGCAGACCAGGAAAAAGAAAAAAGTGGCAGATCCCGTTAGGGACAACAAGCACCAGCAGATTCAATCAAGGCAATAGGTTAAGTTGGAGAATGATTTGGCTAGAAGTGTAATGTCATTGCAGAGTTTCACTGGTCAAACCTAATGAAGTTCTAGTCAAACCCTTTAAAATAAAGCCTGGGAGAAGTGCAGAAGAGGCTCATACTTTGGAGTGATGAGGGACAAACTCATACCAAGTTTTCTATTAGTAACAGCTCTAAAGCCAGGCTGTAAAGGCTAAAACACGTGGTTTGTGGGGTTTTTTTTGTTTTGTTTTAATATTTTGAAGTCAGGATGCCTTGAAAAATCTCACACTTGGTGGAAAAGTGAGTTTAACAGACCCAGAAGCCAGTATATATTGAGCTAATAAACTTCTGAAAATAAACTAAACTTGTTTTAACTCAGTTTGCTGCCTTGACATTTATTTAAAAAAAAAAAAAAAAAAAACCTACCTCTAGCCCTTTGGGCTGGCAACAAGTTCAAGAAATCAGCAGCTTACCACAGAGTAAGCAGCTCTACTGAATGTGTACTTCCTTGCATAAGCCTCCAGTTCCTGCCAACCAACTCCTTTAACTGCTCACATCTTCTCCTTTCCAGTAGCACAGAGGAGCTGGCCGGCAGGGACGGTAGACCTGGGTGGCAGGAAGCAAATCCTCATAATTGCTCACTTCCTCCTTATGGAACCTGGTTTCTCACTCCAGCCAGCCAATTGTAGTTCTTAGTGACTGAAGGAGGGAGGAATCCAGTGCTTATCCCCCTGGCCTTAGGGGTCTTCTAGCTACAAAATTGGTCAGAAAGACTTTTCTAAAACAAATGCTCGTCCCGGTCATCAGGAAAGAGAAGAAAAAAGTGATGAAGTTTTTAAAATGTTCATTAAAACAAAACAAAAATAGCCAAGCCTGACCTTAATTCTATATGACCTTCCCTTATTTTAGAAAGTGAGCTTAGTCAAACCATGCCAGTCACATTCTAAAATTAAACTGAATAAAGGAATATCTGAAACAAAGTCCATTTGGGACAATGTAACATTAAGATAAAAGACTCAAACAAAAATATTTTACTTTTAGTTTTCCACTTTTTAAAAAATATTGAGGTGGACTGGTAATTTTTCTACAGTAAATGTCAGATCCTTTTTAGGTTAAATGGACATACTTCTCCTCCACTACATATCCCTCCAAATCAAGTTCAATCACTTACTGGACTGCTTGGGTAATCCTGATTTGGTTCACTTACAATTTTCTGGTTTGGCTCCTAATTCTTCTACTGTCTGCAAACTATGAATCTCTAGTCCTTCAGGGTATTCAGATTTATTGATAGTCTTCTTATCCACATAAATGATATGTTTGAGACAGGGGATTTCTGACAATGCAGTCTGTTGAATAAAGAGAAAATTTAGTACTTACAGTAATGTATATTATAAGATTACAGTGAAATACAGTTGACAAAAAAAGTTGTTCCCAACTTACCTTAAGTTTACTCTCTAGAAGTTCTACACTGGTGATTAGATATGATGCTCCAGATTCATTCAGACCATAGGTTACTGCCTCTTCACCAAGGGTGGCATATAAAGTAACAACTGTTTTATAAATAAAAATAAGTTTAAGAGCAGAATAATACAAACCAAAAGCTTTTGAATGTATATAATTTAGTCAGCGTTGGGGGGGTGGAAAGAGAGAGAGACAGGGGAAGGAGTACTTTTCATCTGCAATCCTTTTCCACTGAGGAATAAAAGCAGCTTTTAGTTTTTTCCATGATGGAATTTTATGAAGCAAGGAGTTTATGGTAATGCTAATAGTTGTATGGAAAGAGGAAAGTGTAATTTCAGTCATAAGATCGCATGATAAGCAACTAAAAACAAATCTGTGTTCTTTCCAGTTTCAAACAGAGGGAGGAAAAGACTTTGGGAGAGCTGAGTCCTGAGGATCTCCTCTATTTTTCTGCTTCTATAAACCATTCTTAAAGCTTCATACCAGAGAAGAGCTAGACTGGGTTTCACATTTACGAATTAATTCTCCAAGAGAACAGGTGTTCAGTGTAAGGCATCACCTCCAATAAAGCATTAAAATAGGGAAGTAATACTCAAAAATCTTGTTATGAAGTAATTAGGATTAGTACATATACATCTACCTGACAAAAACCACAAAAAGCAAGAAAAATGAAAAAAAAGTTAAGCCACTTACCACTACATATCCACCACCACATGCACACACCTTACTATTATCACAGCTACTGTACTCCAAAGACCACACACTACAATCTTAATTATGTTTCCCTGTGGGTGCCAGCATTCCATCATCCCCTTTAATAGCCCTCCAGCAAACCTTCCTTGCCAAATCACCCTTTCCCCCACACAACCAACTATTGTACCAAATATTCACAACAAATAGTGTTTGGGGAGAAGAGATTCAGTGAATGCAGAAAAATGAAAGGGGGGCAGAATTCAAATTGTGGTGCACAGTCTGTGTTGGATAGAAGCAATAACGGTAAAATGTACTCTTGTGGGTGTGTAACAGCCCTAACTGCTTCATAATGAAGTTTTTGGTGTATTAATATACTCAGGACTGTGCCATTTTTCTTTCAAAAGTACTGTGTCTTGTACATTGATTAAAGTAAGGTAGAGGGTTTAAATATGTCACAAGAATCCTCAGAAGCTGGTTTGCATATTTCAGCTACCATAACATTTCTCTATTCCACCCAACATCCAGTCTCTCCCCTCACATGTCAAGTGGCAGAAGCAATTAATGAAATAGCATTGCTGCATGTTTCAGTTATGAGCAAAATTAGTTAGCCACACAGATCTGATAAACAAGTCAAAGGGCCACATTCATTGCTCTTTCCTGCCCTCCAAAAAGCGAAAGTCAGTTCTGAATTCTAAAAATACTTCTATAATAAGCAGAACAAATTAGTCTGGCTACAGCTGCTTGCTAATTTTGGGGATCCCTGCTATGCATAGCATATAGTTTATTAGAAAGCTGAACACAAATTAGGACTTTTCACTTTCTTAGGGTTACCATATTTGAACTTTCAAAAAAGAGCACACTCCGGGGGGGGTTGTAGCCCCACCCCCTAGCCACTCCCTCCCAATTCCCGCCCCCCTGACTGCCCCCCACAGAACCCCCAACCCATCCAACCCTCCCTGCTCCTTGTCCCCTGATCGCCCCTTCCCGGGACCCCTGCCCCTAATCACCCCCCGGGACCCCCACCCCTTATCTAAGCCTCCCTTATCTTTGTCCTCAACTGCCCCCTCCTGAGACCCCCCCACCCTACCTGTCCCCTGACTGTTCTGACTCCTATCCACACCCCTGCCCCCGCCAGATCCCCGGGACTCCCACGCCTATCCAACCGCTGCCTGTTCCCTGACTGCCCCCCCCCCCGAACCTCTAACCCTCCCTGTCCTCTGACTGCCCCAATCCCTCTCCACACCCTGCCCCCTGACAGGCCACCCCCAGAACCCCTGACCCATCCAACCCTCCCCCTGCTCCCTGTCCCCTGACTGCCCCAATCCCTCTCCACACCCCCGCCCCCCTGACTGCCACCCCCAGAACCCCTGACCCATCCAACCCTCCCCCTGCTCCCTGTCCCCTGACTGCCCCAATCCCTCTCCACACCCCTGCCCCCTGACAGGTCCCCCCAGAACCCCCACCCCATCCAACCCTCCTGCTCCCTGTTTCTTGACTCGCCCCCAGCGTGGGGGAGGGAGCGGGGCTGGCCAATCAGGGCCGGCTGCCATGGGCAGGGGGGTGGCTTTCTGGGCCACTCTAGTTTGTAGCGGCACAAACAGCTCCTGCTCCCGTTTTGCTACCGGCGTGCTGAAGCTGCGGGGGAGGGGCTTTTGCTGCCGGAGCGGCCCCAAGTGAGCGGCTCAATCCGGCGCGGCTGCCCTGTCAGCCGCTTTTGGGTCTTTAGATAGCCGTCCGGGGGGAATTTGTAAAAAGCTAAAAATGTCCGGGATTTCCCCCCGGACGGCTATTTAAAGACCCAAAAGCCGGACATGTCCGGGGAAACCCGGACGGATGGTAACCCTACACTTTCTTCCAGAATTTTTTTAAACAAATGCTATCCCAGAAATATGCAGATGTACTAGACATAAAGAACTGAACTGACTGTGAAGAAATTTTTCTAGAAATATAGTTAATGCAAATGCAACTTTAACACTCACGAGGAAAGTTGTATTTGAAGCAGGTTTGTGCTGCAATCATCCACTCCGCTCGGGTCTCACAGAATATGGCAATGGTACTTTTTGGCTGTAGTCCTTGTGCAGCTAGTCCTCTCCCTAAATGATCCACTCTCTGGTTAACTTCTTCATAGTTTAACCATCTATAGTTTCCTAGGATTAACTGGTTTAAAAAAAAAAAAAAAAAAAAAAAAAAAAAAGAGTAGAACAGTTTTGTGATAATGACATTAAGCTGTTAGTGTACATGTTTGCACCTATTCTGTGAGCTGGTGTGGAAAACATACTAGCAAATTCAAAGTTAGTATTTTTCTTCAGCAAAAAAATTGAGTAACAGCATGTATTATAGCTTCCTTTCTTGAGCTAGTTAAATATCCAGTTTTACACCATAAAATGTAAATTGTAAAGAATGTAAAGGTGGCCTGCAATAAATACTTTATTGTTAAGACACAAAGTTTTTGATATTACAGACTTCAAGAATTCAAAAAACTTTAAGATTACCTTTTTAAATACTTTTCCATTAGGTTGCATTTCATTTTCTTCACTCAATATTTCTCTGGTCCCAAGGCAGTCCTTCTTCCCAAACTTTGCTACAGCATGGTCAAACAGCTTGTCCAAAGTGTCTGCTCCGGGAATGTCTATGGTTGCTAGTGACTCAAGATGAGTAACAGAACGGTACGGACTTCCAGGCTTGTCCGAGATGGGTTTAGCTTTTAAGCGTTTTGCCATAGCCTTTTTCTTCTTAGCATTGGTAAGAAAATACCATGGAATAAATACAAGGGCACTGTACACAGATATTAAGAAGTACACAGGAAGCAAGAAAATGGCACGTACGTCTAGTTTAAGTTTCATAGTGGATAGTTTAAAAAAGTTTTCTCTGTCCTTTGGATTCAGAGAATCTTGGTTCTCTGAAGAAGGTAAGAGCAGAAGCAGCAACAAGTGGCAGTACAGTCAAGGAAACAACTGTAAGTGAAGCTTAGATAGCTCAGTTTTAGAGTAACAGCTAAAACATTAGTAACCTTTGGAAGTCAGACACCTGTGGGTGAAGATCACAGCCAAGCAGACAGCAGGAAAGAAAACAAAGAAAGTTTAACAAATTAGTGACACCAGGAATCAGTCCATTAGTTTCAATCCTTTATGATTTCACCACAACATGCAGCAAGACCAAGGAGGCTGAAGTAACTGGTTTGAGAGGCATATGAGCAATTGGTTTTGAAGACTGAGAGGAATCTTTTCCTTATTTGTTTTTTACCTCCACAAATATTTACTCTTGTAAGGTCCCCCTTCCATCCCCTTTGTCTCTGTTTAAATAATTCTGGTCTTTTAAAGTCCACTGTGTCCTTTATATATCAAAATATTGTTTCTAAGCTAGTTGAGCAATCCTGAAGTTGCAATCCTGAAGTTGCATAACTATGGTCAAAGGCCAGTAGCTTTTTTCTTAAATATTTGTGCTAGGGCTAGGGAGATATGGTAGTACTGATTTTTTATGACTTTCAGAAATAAAGTTATATCAACTCAGTGTTCAGAATACAGCATATTTACTGAGACTGCTCAAAATAAAAAAACCCCACACACTGTAGACCTAATTAATACACAAGATTCATATAGCTCCTCTTCTAACATCACCTGGGTTACTGCTTTTACTTTAAAGCAGGCCTGAGAAGCTCTATTTGAACGTGCACAGCTGCTGTGCACAGCTTAGAGTAATTGCCTCACAAATCAAGTCTGTGTGGCAATTACTCTAATACACAAATTTAAGGACTTCTGGAAGAAAAAGTTCAACTCATCTTCCATCATAAAACCAGAAACAAATCCTGAAGTATTTGACTGTGATTCCACAGAAATCTCTCCTGAGTAGGGACTGTAAAAGGACTAATGGGTAGATATTACCAAAAAAAAAAAAATCACAACTTTAGTTTGGGCCAACTCAGTGGCCTAACACCAGTATTCTGCATGGACATGTGCGAGATATGGGTTCAACTACAGTATTTAACCCTTGCTTCCTGGTCAGATGAAGGATGCAAGTGCTGTGGAGGAAATGCACACAGCCCCAGGGAAGCAAAGGAAAGGGAGCACCTACCAAAGCAGCTCCTCCAACACATTAGGGAGCAGTGCTGACTGGTTTAGGGCAAGGCCTATCCTCTCCCCACCTGGGAAATGGAGGTCTGATTAACAGAGACTTGAGGATGGGGGAATTCTCTCAGGGCACCATCAAGAAACTGTCTGTACTGGGCTATCTTGATTATCACTTAAAAAGTTTTTTTTCCTCTTACTTAATTGGCCTCTCTGAGTTGGTAAGACAACTCCCACCTTTTCATGCTCTCTGTATGTGTATATATATACCTCTCCTCAATATATGTTCCATTCTATGCATCCGAAGAAGTGGGCTGTAGCCCACGAAAGCTTATGCTTAAATAAATTTGTTAGTCTCTAAGGTGCCACAAGTACTCCTGTTCTTTTTGCGGATACAGACTAACACGGCTGCTACTCTGAAACTAGACATACCAAGGAATTTAGTTATATTCACCACCTCAGGTGAGGGAGAGTGACTAAAATTAAAAAAAAAAAAAAATTTTTTTAAGCGACAACTGCCAATAACAGCACAACAAGCACCAGCAATACCCATTATTAATATGGAAAATTACATTTTCTTTAGCACACAGCAACGCATATAGCATCCTTTATGTATAAGCATAGTCTGATTGAATGAAATAATGCATGAGAGATGTGTAGGTACATGCCATGCTATCTGGTAGGAGATAAGTAGTGCTTTCATTCTACAGAATAATTTTAAGAATTGCATATTTGGCAAATAAATTGAGTGAGTCACAGGTACTAAACTGAATTCTGACAAAATACAGATTTTTTTTCCCCCCTGGAGTGAATTACATGTTTTCTCACCAAGATTTAAGTACAGTGACATCTGTCTGTCTTATCCACTGAAATCAGTTGCTTTAACTAACCTCCTATCCTAACACCTCAAAATATCAATAATTCGAGTACAGTTATGCTTCACTTTTATTAGATGGCCACTTTAGTGAAGTAAGTCACTAGTCACTGAGTGGTTGCTTAAGACAGGTTTCACTATACTGATACTGTAAAAAGTGCCCCAGAGTAGCTGCTCAGCAAACAGAATAATTCTCACTGTATTACCAGCAACTATTTGAATTGCCATTTGAGTGTATTACACCCAAGTTACTGTACATTAGCTCCATTAGATTAAAATAGGTCTTACATAAATAAGTCTTTTGAAGAAAGCCCTAAACATCTGTTCTGCACTCCAAACTTCAGTCTCTTCAAATGAATGGCAGACATTTATTATACTATTGGTCTTAAATGACGTGTTGATAATTTCATTCCAGTTACTTCAGTTGGAGTGTGTTTTGAATTAGCTTAGGTTGTACATAAAAATAAGCAGAAATGCTAGGACTAAAGCTAAAGCTCCAGTGCATGGCAGTTAAACACCACACAATGTGATAAAACCAACACGGAGAAGGGAATTCTCAGTATTTTCAAGAGACAAAAGCATGCAACATAGCATAGTGAGTGAAACAGAGAATAGATTACAGCAGGCTAATGCAAACTTAAAGACACAATTTCATTGCCTTACTCCACAAGCAGTCCCACTGAAACCAGCATGACTACTTGTGGAGTAAGTACTATCAGCCTGAGTAAAGGCGGAAGAACTGGGACCTGAGAATTTACAAATCGATAGGAGCAAGGGTCAGTCTACTCAAGTCCCGTGACACATATTTGAGACTGAATGGATTTACATCTAACATACATTCTTTCCCCATTTTCAAATGCAAACACTGCTTTTTTCTGCAAGACCTGTCCCTTAATATGCCAGAAGATCCGGAGACAAACTAGCAAACATAGAAGATAAATATATCTAAGTATTGGTACCAAGATAAGTATAATTCTAAACTGGAATAAAGATTGTAGAAAAAGCATAGGCTGCCAAAATATTAATTTTAACGTGGGTGTTTAAACAGCTTGTACAGTGCCCCCAACACAATGAAAGGAGTGATTAAGTTACACGGTAAAGGTATTTTCATTGTGTAAGTATACTGAAGAATTACAGGGGATAGCAACGAATGCTAAATCTATTAGGCACTTTATTAAGAATCCTTACATTTACTATAACTCTTACTTATCTGAAGCATATGGCCCAAAACAAACATTTTAAGATGATTTCTATATTAACTACCGATAATTTAAAATGAACACATATTCTACCTGCATTAGGGTTTTGTCTGGCACCCACTGATGTAATGTCAAAGTACTAGTTACCCTTGTACAGTGGGCTTCTGTAGTTGGATTTGTATTCTAAAATACAATGAAACCGAGTTCTGCACACAGATGGTCAATATTAACATTATTGCCATTTGCTTCTCATTCTCCTTCCAACACACCTTTCCCACTGTTTATTATACCCACTGTTGCATCTTGGTCTTAAATTAGATTGTCAGCTCTTTGAGGCAGGGACTGCCTTACTGTTTTTACAGCATCTAACACAATAGGACCCTGATTTAGGCACTACTATAATGCAAATAAAATAATGATAATTAAAGTTTTAGTTCCTCCATGATTTATCAAGAAGTTTCACAATATACTAATTCATTTTTTTAAACTCACTGCTATCAACGTTATCTGCTTTTTAAAACCAAAATATGATTATTGTACCAGAAGAGTAGACTGTGACTACTATAAAATGCCTGTTATCCAATTTCACATGTAACGTTTTGGCTAAGACTACCCAAATCTAAATTTAGGGGTTAGGTACAATAATCCTGAATTTGATCTTTTGTCACACTTAAAAGGAAGTGGTGAAGGCTTGCCATCCTCAGTCATTTTAGCCACACATCTTGGATAAAAGGCATGATCTTAAATATCAGATGTGTTTCAGTGTTCTCTTCTCAGCTGATCTTGGTATCAAACCCATACCTCCGTTACTTTACTTTTTTCATTTAAAGTTTTATTGAAACATTTTAGGCACCTAAATGCTGATAGAGATTTCAGAACATTTATTTGAAAGAAAAAAAACTGAGTTGACAAAATGCCTCTTTTGCAATAGAGAGATCTGCAGTTGCTGACCTTGCTTCTATAACTGGCAATGCAATGTTCAAACCATACACACACACACACTGCCATTTACATTCATGTTAAGGCAAAACATAGAGGCTGCATTTTGTGGAAGTTTCCAATCAGATTCAATGGTAAAAAGATGATGTTTTTAAATAGATGACTTAGCTAATTTGTAAAATATGTAGTAGTTTGAGAGAGACTTCCATTCTATCAAGATCAGCAGGAAATCCAAAAAATGCCATAGAATTTGATGAAAACAAGTCTAAACTTAAAATAAAGAAAGAAAAACACTTGTAACTTTTTGCCTTTAACAAATAAATGTTAAGATACTTACAGGATATCTAAAAGTAATGACTGGGTTTTCTTCAATGATGATTCAATCTACAGTAAAATGGGAGAGAAGATTGGGGGGGAGAGAAGAGAGAGACTGATAAGATCGTGTACCAAGTTAAGTAAAAATATTAAGTGTAGAAACCAAAAATTTAACCTGCTATTTATGTACTTAAACAGTGAAGATGAATTCATGGTCTCCCCTATCCTTTTGAAAAGGAAGATGTGTCACTACTCTTATCTTCTATTTAAATGAATCCAAATAAGTTTTCACCAAAGTCACAAAATATACAAGTTACTCACATTTAGTCTTGTACTTTGAACATGTTCAGTCATGCTTTAGTCAATACAGAGGGGGTATGTGGGTGAAAGTTAATGACCTGTGATATGCAAGAGGTCAGACTAAATGATAAAATGATACCTTCTGGCCTTAAACTCTATGGAAATCTACTGAAATTACCCCTATGACTGTGTACCTCTGGTACATGATCAATCAGGTATGACTGAGCTTAAAGTTGTGAGCCATTAGAACATGCATCAGCCAGTCTGCAGGGATACAAACAACTTTTCAATTCCTGCAGCCCCCCCAACTTCCAGGATGTATTGTAACCAGTATTGTATTGTAATAAAAGGCGCCAGGGCTCAACCAGTTATGTGCCGGTGCTGAAGCAATTTTTTTACTTTCATAACTGACATAGGAAGCCAAGAAGTGCCAGGGCTATGAACTGCCAAGCCTGGAGGTAACGGTGCTCAGCCCTGGCACAAATTAAGCACTGATGGTAACCATAGGCAGGATATGCTTATTTTAAAGGAGGGAGAGGGAAGCTGGGCCAGGCTGGATTGCCTCTAACCACCCCATGGTTTCCCGCCTCTAACATAACAGTGTAGTAAAAGAGATTTCCTTCTTCTGCCCCAAATGTGGTATGTTTC